GAGTGATGAATGATGAGTCAGAATAATGTGTTACCTGCGACTCTTATTTGATTTTTCCTGAAACATCAGTATCTTCTATCAGTATCAGTTTTCGTGAAAAAGGAAGTCTGATGGTGACGTTCTTATTAACAAGAGAGGAAATAAACACACTCTTTACCCACAAGATTTTTGACTGTGCTTAACAATAACACACACATATTTTCCATCCGTCAGGTCAGTCTACTCTTTCTTTTTTAAATAAATGAAACCGCAGAAGTTTCACTTTGACTCAGTTGCTGGTGTCTTATTCAGTGAATCGTGTTGTTTATCTGCGCTAGAAAATAAATGCGCTGTGGGTTTCTGTGGAGCTGTGGTTTAAAAAATATGTTCCATGTTTGAGTGAAACCATAGTGGGGGACTGAAAATGGTGTTTACTTTGAAATGCCTATTTTTTCTATTTTCATTTCATTGCATTTTATTTGCAAATCAGTCTTTATCATTTAACCCATAGGGGAGAGTGAGGCACAACGTAATGCTTTTTGACTTTCTCAGTTTGTGTAAATCTACTTGGGGTTTTTAGAGTATTTTTTCCCCCCACATTAATTTCGCACATGTCTAGTACAATTATGTGGTTTTGTTTTATTAGTGTATATATATCATACACTGTATTAATAAAACAGATTGGTTTAATATGTTTATATACTTAATATATGGTTTAATATATGTTAATATAGCCTAATATATGTAGTTTTTTTCTTGATTCTATGAAATGTGACAACATGCCCCATAGGGTACACATTGTAACATGAGGGGCATGTTGTAACATCACCATATGACAGCTTAGAATGCTATCAAAACCAAAATATTTTCTTAATAAAATACCATTATTAACTTTTTCATATTAAATAATGGCATTTTTAGGGAGGTAGTGTGCAATAAATGAAGAAAAAAAGGACATCATGCCAGAGTGTGCAAAACCAAAAGAATGTGTGAAATGCATGTAGATGATTGAGGACTCGATGATGAGGAAATCGCTTTTCTGGGCTCACTGTCTATGGACACAAAGGGCAGTCTATGGATGACAGATGTACATGTGGAAAATCTTAATGCACACTTTAAAATCGACAGAGGCGCAGATGTCACTGCAATACTTGAAATGCTGTACAACCAGGGCCAGTTCAGCAGGCTGGGGAGGTCAACGAGGGTTCTGCTGGGGCCAGACTTGTTTGAATGTGAAGGGCAAGTTCACCACCACCCTCAGAAAGAACAGTAAAAGTAGCTACTAAGAAATACATACGTTAATGAGGGTTGTGCACATCACTGCTTGGCAGGCTTGATGCAGTGGCACCAGAGTGCAAATTACCCCACCATAATAGGCTGACGGCGGTATTTCCGGTGAAGCATTAGGGATGCTTGATAACTTCCGCCGATCGTAGAGTCCAGTGCAATACCGAGAATTTATATTGAATTTTATACTCCATGGTTGTACTAAAGAAACGTTAGTCACAAAAACAGATAAAACAGACACCCCTCGTTGTGTTTATGCTTCTTTTTAAAATCATATTAAATAAATAATTACATCTAAACGTATGTTTCGTTTCAAAGACGGGAGGACAGTAAATTTTGAAGACTCTGCCATAATCCCGTTTTCTCCGGTTTTCCTCCGCTTTAATCTACACAACCGGAAATGGACGAGCATCCTTGCGTCAAATGCGGAACTTATGCGTGCATATAGCCCATTGGGGGTAGGCTACTGCTCCTTCATTTCTTCTATGACCACTACCATCCCCCGCCGTGATCGGCAAGTGCAACATGTTGTTACGAATTAGCCACCTCGTAAAATTCGTACGAATTCCCGTGAGATCGGGTTGTGCAACACACAAGGTCTAAACATGCGACAAACCGTTTTATTTCATATTCAATTTTAGTACAATGCAAATACATTAAATAACTATGTGTACTACTGAGCATTAGCATGTGTTTCATGAAGCGGATCGAATCACCTAGAAAACTTTCTGCATTTTTACATTTTCACTTAGCCTGTTTAGGCTAAGCTGTTTTCAATAATAATAATAATAAATCTCCACAAGGACAAGGATTTCGGATATTGCCATCTCTGTGGGGATATTTTGACCCCATTATGTATGGTTACACACACGCGCCCACACAAACACGCTCTCTCTCTCTCTCTCTGAGCGTGTGTTGGAATAGGAGTGAGAGTGCGGTGAGTGCTGCTGAGAGCGTGCTGAATGTAAGTTTTCTGATTCTCTTTTTTTCCTAAAGCCTTTTGTTTTCTCTGTTGATGTTTTGTGGAGTTGTTTAGGGAAACAGTGTTAGTTGGGGTTCATTGGTGTTTGTTTCGGTGGAGGCGGCGGCGGCAGCCGGTGTCTGTTAGCATGGCTGCTACAGGGGAACACACTAGTTTGCGCAAACTTACGCGCCGACATGCTAACTTTCTCCGCCTAATGGGTGTTCAGTTGAACAGTGTGTTTCAGCGGTGGTTGAGATTGTTGGATATGATAGTGTTAAATCGGCGTCTAGGATGAATAGTGCCGTAGTGATCTTTTTAGAGTAGACAGTGTGGATGTGAATCAGTTACTGGAGAGTGGAGTAGTGATTGAAGACACGCACACATCAGTTTTTTTGTCTCTTGTAAATCCTGCCAAAAAAGTCATTATCTCGAATTACCCCCATTTATGAAGAATGAGCTTTTCGAAAAAGAACTAGGGAGACACGGAAAACAAAGATGATCCCTATCAGCTGTAAATCTCCTCATCTTAAACACGTTGTGTCTTTTAGGAGACATGTATATATGATTCTCAAAAAGAGCCATGAAGAACTGAATTTAGTGTTTAAGTTTAAGGTTGAGGACTTTGACTACACTGTGCATGTAACATCAGAGGCGATGAAATGTTTTGGGTGATGGACTGTAGGGCATGTAATTCGCTCGTGAGAGCAGGAGAGACCCGGGCTGTTAACACACACCCGCCGCCCGTTCGGGCCGAAAGCGGAGCTTCTTTACCTGGCTAACCGTTACCGAGAACGGTGCAGGAAGAAAACCGAGATGATAGTGATCAAGACAATGAGCATTCAGAAAATGTAGAGAGTGAACAAAAAGCACGAGATGATTTAAATGGGTTATGTCGGTCAAACCGCGACTAGAGTAGATGAGTCAGTAATGTATAATGAGGAAGATGCTTTATTGGATGCTGAAATGTCAAAAATGTCAACCAAGAGGAAGAATCCGGGGGGGAAATCGAACTCTGAACAAGTTGCAAAAGTTTCAAAGTTGATTCTTATGAGCTGTTCTTCTCAGTCAGATGATGCGATGAACACGCAAGAGTCTGAAAATGATGGGAGATGCACAAATGGATGTGGAGACTGAGAGTGCTTATCCTTTCTCCAAAACCCAGTCCTTTTTACAAAGAACCAAAGGCTTGAGATCAGTTAAAGTTGAGGATTTTTTTCCCAGATTTAAAGCTCTTCCTTGACTCAGTTAAACTAATCATGAAGAACACAGAATATTCTGGCCAACTGACTTTTACAGATCAAGAAATTTTTCGTCTCAAAAAAAAAAAAAAAAAAATGATGATAAAAGTCAGAGCAAAAATAGCCAATGATGATAAGTGTTTTTTCTTTTTTTGTGTTACCCTCTCTGTTTTGTCAAAATACAAATTAACATTTGCTATCTGTGACATAACGCTGGGTTCTTTAAACATCAATGCGGTGCTAGAGAGGATGCAGAGAGTTTCCCTTTTTTAGTTTGTTTAAAGTTAAGTAGCCTATTATTTTTCTACAATAAACGCATAGCACTGTTGAAAATGAAACTGAATGGAAGTTCTCAGTCATAGCAACAGTGCTGGAGTTGGAATTCTGTTTGCGAAAGATTTTCTACCCATTTCTTGTGTTACTGAAGAAGTCGTTGAAGGTCGCTGCTGGCGGGAACAGCGCCATCTGCTGGTTGGTGATATCCTGGAATGCATGTTTCATAAAAATCTGAACTTTTCCTGAAAAGGAAATATAACTGCCATACATATTATTTCTTTTATTTAACTTGTTTTGTTATATATATTTTTTTATCTATTCATGGATATTGAGTGTTGATGACGTTAACTAAGTAGGCTATATTTTGCGTCGCACACAGACACAATGCAACAGGAAAAACAGACTTTGGTAAGAAGTTATTCTCCGTGTGTAGAGGAGTTACTCGTGTTTTGAGCCAAAAAAAAACATGGCTTTCATATGTGTTTTTTGAACCCGGGTATTTCAAGTGAACTCAGATCTCTATTGGTTATATGCAGCCAACGAGGTGTATTACCGTCATATTCTCCGATTTGTACCGGTAGGCTATTTACCTCTTTATAATGTGTGTGTGAACGTGTTTATATTTACATTGTCGTATAGTTTGACAGTGGATTTCATTGATGGTGAATTTGATGACGGAGAGAAGGATGACAAGTGGAATAAATCCATCAGTACAGAACTGGTGTCGTTTATTTCCTGGAGGGAGTGATAAATAGGACATTTTCTTCTTACATAATTAGGCCAAAAAGTTCTTTTGTTTTGTTTTCTTTTAATCCACACACACACAACAACAAATAAAAACATAAACTATAAAGTAGATTTGTATTGATAAATGAAGCATAACATACTGCTTTGAAAACTTTCAATTTACTTTCATTTTTACTTTAACGTCTCTCTCTCTCTCTCTCTCTCTCTCTCTCTCTCTCTCTCTCTCTCTCTATCTCTCTCTCTCTCGCTCTCTCTCTCTCTCTCTCTCTCTGTGTGTGTGTGTGTATAGGGTGAATTACTGTGTGGATGTAAATATAACTTCATATGTTAATCTAACTAAGTGATGAATAGAATAAATAAAACTCCCAACTTACGTAATTTCACGTTAACCGAAACTTATATCACGTGATTTCGAAAACGATCCTGATTCGACACGCCTGCCCTGAATCATAGACCTGGATAGGTCATTTTGTAAAAAAACAACCACGCCTAAGATATAAAAGAGGGAATCACGTTCTTATGATAATCGTCGCAAGCTCTTTTGTCATCTAGGCTGCCTGGCTGCCCCGTCCGTGTCCTATCACAGGGACCTGCACTGGCTGCTCCGGGAACAGACGATGCAGAATAATTCAAGATTGGATTAAATTGATTTAACTTGTGAATGTGTACAACAACAATAAAATTCAAAATCAGAATATGGAAGGTTATCGTGTGATCACTCTGTTTGTTTTTCTTGTTCATGGTAAGTCGCTGACTTTATATTTTTTATAGGCAATGCATTGACATACCAAATGCATTCTTGTAGAAAATGCATGAATTTAAAGTGCGCATCTGTAGGCGTAAATTAGCTAATATAGATAAATATTTTGGAAATGTCTCTGCCGATTGCAGGTGTAGGCTAATACATATCAGACATGCAGAGGACAAAGTCCATAAATTGCATAATCCAATCCGTTTCAATAGTTTAAGTTTGCGCAACGCTCATGTTTTTTTTTTTTTTTTTGGCGAGCTCGTGACGGCACTCCCTTCCGTCTTTTGTTCCGTCTTAACCGTTTGACCAGTTCTGCCAGGAAACAGTCGCTAGCCAATTTTACACATTTAATGTATTAAATATAGCCTATAATGCAAATTAATCATTCCCTATCTCTCCATTTCTTGTTTTGCGCCCACAAGTAAGAAAAAAGGCTAAATTTATACAGTTTTGATCACGTGATTTTCTGAGAAACGGTCTATACTTTTCTTAATATAGCCTACAGATGACCTTGAGCCCCTGTTTCATTTAACACACCACTAATAAATGCTCTTCACTGGTTTAGACTACAGCCGGTCTCCCTGAATAACCAAACTTAAGTGCCCAAACTCATCTAAAAGCAAACAGACCTAGCTGCGTCATCTAGGCCTAAAACCAGGAAACAAGCTCAGGCTGTTTATCAGAAGGAGGAATAACAACTCCAACATATTCACAGAGAATCATGACCGGTTAGAAAGGCATTGATAGCATGTTAATCGTGATGAGTTGACTAGGCTATGGAAAATGTTTGCCCCAAGAAAATAATATATATATATATATATATATTATAATTCATCTCGCGATTATAGTCCATACAATTCATTATTCTCATTATAATAGGCCTTTTAGTCATTATAATTATACAGATAAATTTGGAGATTACAGTAATTATAAACGTGAGATTAAATTTGAACTACTATGTTGAGAAAAAACTTATTACATTTCTAGAATAAAGCTGTTGTTTCAAGAAAAAAAAATGTTAAAAGAAATTCATAAGTTTTATTAACATTTTATTTCTAACTTTTCTTGAAATGATTTTTTTCTTGAAATGATTTTTTTCTTGAAATGAAGTTTATTCTCTAAGTATAGTGAGTTTATCTCAACATTCTCAACGTTTTTTTATTTTGCATTATAATGACTTAAATTTCAAGATGGTTTTATTTTTATTTCTTATTATTGTTTGGCCCTAGTCTTCTTCTGTAATAGTAATAGTCCTGGATGAAGTATTTTAATATTTACATATAAAATGAGGCTGTAAAAATCTACTTTACCACAGAGATCTTTATGATTTAAGATCTGCTGTCATTGGCTTTCTCCTAATCAAACACATTGCTGTGTTTTTAATGTGTTACAGTAATTATTGTCCATCTTTCTCTCTCAGGTGTGTTTGGTGATGAAATGATGACTGTGTCTGTGAATGAGGGAGAATCAGTCTTTCTAAACACTGGAGTTACCAAACAACACCGTGATAAGATGCTGTGGTATTTCAACGACACACTCATAGCTCTGATCAACGGAGATCCCAGAACGAGCTGTTTATATGATGGAGAAGACGGGAGATTCAGAGACAGAGTGGAGGTGGACCATAAGACTGGATCTCTGACCATCACAGACATCACAACTGAACACGCTGGACGCTATGAAGCAAATTTCATCCAAAGCAAGAGCTCAGGAACCAGCACAAGCTTGAACAGAAACAGCAAGTGTGACAGCACAAAAATCACCAGGAAAATGAGCAACATCGGCGACACCATAAAAACATTCATCGTTTCCGTCAGCCGTGAGTCTCTGCATCATGTCTGTTTTGGCAACATTACACTGACACTGTCCAGTCCTTTTTTCAGTAGACGTACCTTGTGAATAATTCAACATTATGATGATATTAAAAATATTATAAAAGGTTATTTTTCTGACTGCCGATATATCAAACTTTTTTAAAAAAGTTTTTTTATTCTCTTGTAATTTCCAGCTTCTCTGTCTGCTCCTGACAAAACCAGTGAAGAATTGGACGATACGGGGAAGGAGCGGGAGTCTGACAGGAGTATGTTTCTTCTCCCTTACTTTTTTACAGTCATGTGAATCAGTGTGGGTGTGTTTGTGCTGAAAGGGTGTGTTTGATCTGTACACTTTGTTCTCGTCTGTCTAAAAGCCATTTTTCCATAAGTCTTTTCTTATTTGCTAACCTACGCCTTGATCCAAACTTGTCTTGTCTTGTGTAATTGCACTGCCATGACCTTCATCCTCTCAAAAATGTTTAGAAACTCTGCTCTCTTTTTTCACATCCTCCTCTTTGTTTTTTATATATTGAAAAAGATATGTTGATTACACTATAGATAAACGTATGACAGCGTATTGCGTGACGTCTTATTATCGTCAATATTATTGACGATAATTATCAGGACACCGATCTGTTCACGCTGGAATTTGATATTGGCCACATTTAAAACAATGTAAATGTCTTTCCTGCTTTGCATTGTGTTAACACACACCTGAAGGCTCCAACAAAGCTCCTGCTGTTATAGAGATGATCAAACTTGCCGAAGATCAATTCATTAAAGCCATTTGATTAGCAGCGCTAAGATTGCTATCAAGATGTTAACAGTAAAGGTGTGCGTAGTTTTTCATACATGGCTTCTCCATTTTGTCTTGAAGATTTTTTTAATTATGTCCTGAAATTCAACTAGGGTTTAATTTATTTTTTCACATGACTGGATCTCTAATTGCAGTATCAGATTCACTCGCACTAATGGCTGTCTGTGTTGATCTGTTCCAGGTTCAGTTCTGATGCCAGTTTATGTAGGAGTAATATGTGCTGTTGCTGTTCTGATGTCAGTAGCTGTAGCTGTTGGTGTGGTGTATCTTCGCCGCAGGAGGTCTACAAATGGCAAGTACCACCTACATATATTTTAGCAAGAGGAAAACAACATCTTTATTGTGCAAACTTATAATTTAATTGTGTGTAATTTAATTTTTACAGCAGAAGCGGAGAAAAACAAGCTTGAACATCTGTTGAAAGTCTGAATATGAGGTAAGATACTGCACTACTGTGAAGGAGTTTTTTAATTAATCATAACTAACATGTAGTTTTCTTGCAGGAATACCATTCATATGATTCTGAATCCTAAATGTTTCCAAAACCTTTGGTCAACTCAGTCAAGTGATTCAGTGTCCACAACTTTGGTTCCTATAAATGAACTCTTGCACTAAATAAATGCACTATATTAGCATATGAAGAGTTCAGATGCAAAAGCATCTAAATGCCATTTGAAATTTTCTTCTTTAATGATGATTTTTGTCAAACTTGTATATTTAAGTTCAGTAATTTCACTTAAATAACAATTAATAGGTAATTATCATTGCCATTTAAGTGAAATCACTGAACTTAAATATACAAGCTTGATAAAAATGATCATTCTAGAAGAAAATTTCAAATATGGAGGCTTTTGCATCTGAAAAGCCTCCATACTTAGAGGCTTTTGCATCTGACCTCTTCATATATATTATATTTTACTTAACCTGTTAATAATATCTTGATTATTTAATGTGTGTTTAAAATATCTTTCATGAAAATGACAACTGTGTAAATTATTATATTTCAATAGCAAATTAGAGTAAAAACACAAGTTAATAGAAAAACTGCCTTATGTTCAGTTTGCATGTTTTCATACAATGTTTTGATTATTATATCTAAAAAATAAATAGCATCTGAATTTAGGTTACAAGTCTAGGATACAACCTTTAATGTTATAGTAATGTGCGGCTCCCTATATAGTTTACAGCATTAGCAGATTTTTTTTTTATCCTTGTGAAACGTTTAATTGTAATTGATTTAAGTTAAAGACAAAGAAAAAATGTTCATAAAACCACTGTTTAAAAACAACAAAAAAGGCAATTTTAGCTTTCTAACCCCAACCGAACCAAGACGTCAAAACCGTGGGAAAACCGAACCGTCAGTTTTTACACCCCTAGTGGACAGAGAGCGTTTTTAAACGAAAACGCCATTTTCAAATGTATCCAGAATAATGTGGACGTGGACGTAGCCTTAGGGTTTTACACAGCTGCGTGTGGTAAATTCAAAAGAGTTCACAAAGACGAAGTTAATCCCAATGAATAGCGGAGAGATGAAGGGTACACACGCACATACATGGTAATACATACAATCACCGACCGTGCACTGAAAAGAACAGGTAGACTTTATAAGAGAACTAATGAGGGAGAACGTAATTGAGGGAGAACAGAAACCATTAGGTTCAGGAGGAGGAGAGAGCATGGGAAGGGTAAACAGAAAGCATGAAGGACTGGGGTGGAGCAGATGGTGCAGGTGCCCAGGGTGGAAACAACAGAGGGAGGAGCCATGGTGGAGGCAGAGCTGATGACTCCAGGGGGCAGACTGAAGGGGACGGAGCTGGTGGAACGGGAGACCAGGGTGGAGCCGGAGAGCCGACACAGAGCATCCCTTTGGGTCATAGCAAGGTAGCTCTGGCAACTGAGGTGCAGGCGGGGACACAGTAGGGCACGGTGGAGACAGAGGAGCCGAAGGGAGGGCAGGCCAACGAACTGCCAAGATGGATCCGGGGGTATGAGGGAGCCTGGCACAACTGATGACCTGATGGGCCACGGTGGAGCTGAGGGAGGTAGGACCCAAGGTAACACTAATGGACCATCTGGCTGAGGTGGAGTTCTGGCCGCGGAGGTGGAGCCGGGATCCACTGACCAGGCTGGAGCTGTAGGCTGAGAGACCCATGGCGACTCCACCACCCCGAAGGTGGTTAGAAAAGTTGAGGGGCAGTGATGGAAGAAGGGATGGGAGGCTGGGTGGGAATTCAAACACCGATTCTGGCTTGGGGACAGACTCAGGTTCGGATACAGGCTCAGGTTCAGCAGGGCTGACGTGAACATCTCTGGCTCGGCCGGCATGATGTGAACAGTCTCTGGTTCGGCAGGACGAGACCCTGGAAGGGCGCTGGCGGGATCCTCTTCTCCTAGGCAGATGGTGAAGGGAGAGTTACTGCTCGCCAGCACCAACTCCACAAAGGCAGCAAAATCACCCCGCGGACCTTCTCCGGTCAACTGCTCTCTGCATGAGCTTTTCAAGCTCACTTTGTAAAACATGCAAAGGCAGTAGACTGGGTAGTGAGTCAAAAATGCAATCTCGAGGAAGGTCCGCGTGTTGTTCTCCAATGTTTGTTCCCCTTGCTCTAAACACAAAAGGATGACAGTGGGGATATCCATATCGGACGCTCACAGGCTATAAGGCTATATCACTTATTGGCGTCCTCCGTTGTGGTCTGTGAGATCTGCAGCGTATTTCTGTATTTGGTTGAGTTGTGAGTATTTGGAGCGCACGTGTGTTGTGAAACTGATTAAGGTGTTTTTTTTCTATTTGCATGTATTTTTTTTTTATTTGCATGTGTTTTCTTCAGTTGCAGCGTGTTGAGCTCCCTCGGCCACTGTTTAATCAGGGAGAACAGAAACAGGTGTGGTTAATTAATCAAGATACACAATGAGGGCAAATGAACTGAACCAGACAGAAACTGAGGCCACGTCCACACGGACACGGGTATTTTTATAACCGGAGTTTTTCCCTCCTGCGTTTAAAGAAAAAAAAAACCTCCGTCCACAAGAAAACGCAAAAACAAGACATCAAGCGCTGTCAAGAGCATGCAACACCAGCAGGCGGCGATATAAACCTAACCGTAAAGCCACGTTAGCCAATCAGAAGCTGTCAGCGCTGCAAAAACTCCGGTTTCGCTGTCTACACGACAACACTGCAACCGGCGTTTCAGAAAATACTCACCCTGGCAGGGGTTTTCAAAAATGTGCGGTTTCAGTGTCCTGATACTGCGTTTTCGTGTGGACGAACGGCCGAACCTCGTAAAAAAAGTCACGGTTATAAAAATACCCATGTGGACATGGCCTAAGAAAGGACATAAAAGTTCATAACTGATACATAGGGGTCAGATTCCGGCCAGGTAACTACAATTCTCAGGCAGTTTATTAGGTAAAAATAGCTTATGCTTATGCCAAGTTCAGACTAGGGATGGGCAACGATTAATCGCGATTAATCGCATCCAAAATAAAAGTTTGTGTTTACGTAATATATGTGTGTGTGGTGTGTATAATTATTTTGTATTTATATAAATACACACACATGCATGTATATATTTAAGAAATATTTGCATTTCTATATATTTATACATAATTAATATTATGTATAAATATAAATATTTGATATATTAAGAACACATTTTTCTTAAATATATACATGCATGTGTTAGTATTTATATATACAATATAATTATACAGACTACACACATATCATGTAAAAACAAACTTTTATTTTGGATGCGATTAATCGTTGCCCATCCCTAGTTCAGACTGCATGACTTTCAAAGTAGTCGGGTCGCTGCTCTTTTCACACTGCATGACTATCTTGGCCAGCATTCAGTCGCTGCTGTGTTCACACTGCATGATGGATCGGCGACAAAAGGTTTCGCACTGCGTGATTTTACAATGGGAAAAATCGCCGACAACTCTGTCTAGCACGCTGTGCGCAAACTACGTTTCACAACAAACACACGTGAGATGGGACAAGGAAACAACGCAACATCACACGTGCTAGACCGGAGTTCTCACGTGAGACTTTTTCTTTTTCGACCCGGTTGTGGTACAGCTCAGATGAAACGTCAAACAGACACGCGAGCTCCTGCCAAATTTCTACTAATTTTTCTTCCATTTCTTAGGTCCAAATAGACCGAGAAAAAGCTTTTTTCTGAAACAATGCCATGCTTGTTGATATGTGATCTATAACTCCTCCCCGAACTCCCGATGTAGTTTTCAGTCAAAACACTTTTCACAAAGCAGGATTTTGAATCGCAGACAGGTCCAGATATTTAGCATGCCAAATATCTCACGGGCGTCGGCGACTCGTCGGCGATTCTCCCAGATCTCGTCTTTGCTCATTCACACCGTGTTATTGTCACTCGTGTGAACGAGCGCCGATTTGCCTGTGATTTTGGGCATTTGTTGGCGATTTCTCAAAACCTGTCGGCGAGCCAAAATCGTGCAGTCTGAACTCGGCATTAGGTGTCAACTCGCGCGTTCAGAGGTGAACTCAACTTGGTTAAATTTAAGTCATGTAAGGGAAAATCCACCACTTATCGTTGTAGAAATGTTTCATTTTCATGTCTTTGGCATGCAACCTTTGCAAGAAAGAATGTTCAAAAAAAGTTTATTGTTTTGCTGTTATGTGCCATTTATAATTATAATTTCCAAATATTCTGTGCTATAAATTGTACTAATTATATGAGATTTTTTTTTTCAATTCACAAAGAATGTGATTACAGTGCAAAAAGAGTATATAACTATATATGTAGTTAATTCCACTGACTGAATTGACTGAATAAAATTTATAGCAGAGTTATTCAACTGGAAAAATAACTTATAAACCGAATCTTATTAACTTACTGATGTCTGATTTCACTGCTTGTTTCTCTCTCTTAACCCTGTGATTCATTGTTTTCTTTCAGGAATAAGACTGATGTCATGTGAGTGATGCCAATGGGATTAGTGGATCCCAATGGTCCCGGTCATAGTTAGAAAGAAGGGTCTGAGTGGACGTCCACGACATGCGGAGTCCCACAAGGCTCAATTCTAGCGCCACTTCTGTTCTACCTGTATTTGCTCTCACTGAGACAAATAATGAGACAGAACCAAATTGCTTACCTCTAAAAAAAATTTAAAAGTTGTTTCAACCCATGTTTGGGTCAAATATGGACAAACCCAACCATTAGTTTAGAATTTTAATTAAATGATAATCGTTAGTTCTGGCAGGTCACATTAGTCAAGTTCGCATCAGCAGATCTACGTCAGTTTACACATGGGATCTGAGTGAAATGCATAGTCTCAAGTGAAAATACACAAATTTCTAAACAAACAGACGGAGCAGATGTGTAAAAATAAACCAGAGTAGTCACCAGCTGGCATTACAACGTGTGAGAAACTTTTTAAACAATACAAGACCAAAACAGACAAAAAGCCCAGAAGTCACATGACAAAATAGTAACCAATTAAAAAAAAAAAAAAATTACCCAAAAATGAGTTGAAACAACCCAACATTTTTTGTGTGTATGTACCAGATCTCACCTGATGACTACAGTACATCCCCATTGACTCCCTGTTCAAGGCCAATTGATGAAGTTAACAGCTGGATGTCTTCAGTTAAAGGTGCAATGACTATCTATTAACAGAAATGCAATATGACATCCATAACTATGTATTCAGTAGTCAGTAGTGTATAAAGAACTTACTTAATAAACCGTAATGTTTTTATTACCTTAGAATTAGACATTTATATCTACATAACCGCGGGAATCCCCTTCTATACAGAACGCGTTTCGTCACTACCTTGAAAGAGAAGCAGGAAAAACCTAGAAGCCATAGACACCATGAGTAGTGACTTTTCCCTTGTGAGTGGTGTAAAATATGTAGTTGGATTGTTTCATGTAACTTAGTTCTCCCTCGCTGTGTTATGGGTTTGATATATGGGGATAAATGTGCTGTTACCTTTATGAGACAGCTGATTAGTACTCGTCATTGACTGTAATAAAACAGTATGTTACAGGAATCACTAACCTGTCGATCTTGGAAGAGATCTAAGTTGATCGCGAAGAGTTTTCAAAATTAGAGAAAAAGCCTATTGCGTGTATCAAATGGGGTCTGGGGTAGGGTTAGGGTTACACCACTAGGAGGCGCCTTCTGGCCCATATATATCTGCGTCTCATATTGATGCTATAGGGTGGCGTGTGCGTTGGATGTAGATGAAATGTCACTATATGACGTCTTGGGATGAGAACGGGCTGATAATATATTGGAGAATTACATCGGGAATTTTCTGGCTTTAACCAATAGAATCATACACGATATCTTATCATATATACGTTATATAACTGTTCTGATCATCTAAAAAGGAAGATAATTTTATTACAAGTGCTTAATTTTTGGAATCCGATTACACTGTAAAACAGTTGTGTAATTGTAAAAAGAAAAAAAACTGTTTATAGGTTGACAAATTCAAAAACTGTAAAATATTGGACACTTCATGATAAGTTGTACAGTTAAATTCTGTTAAATGTACAGTTTTTAGAAGTAAAAAAGGCAAATCAAATTATAATGTAAGGTGAAAAACTACTGATATTCAGATAATTCACTGTTTGACACTTCAAATTTGAATGTATATATTTTGTTTAAATAGTTGTGTTTGTTTTATGTTCATTTGTTTTGTTGTATTCTCTATTTTAATGAATATTTTCATTCTGTATTTTTACTGAAATTTTTTTGAGAGAGAGCTTTATGTTCTGCTTGTTCTTGGCCTTGACAACCACACTATTGTGGCCTTCCCTAAAAGACCATTAGACCCTGACCAGTTAACCAGAACGCTGCTGCCAGGATTCTGAACACAACCAGAAAATATGAACATATCACAGCCTCAGTCTTTACACTGGCTCCCAGTTACATTTAAAATGGATTTTTAAGGCAAAAAAGACAATGAAACATGAAAAAAAACATACTTTATACACCATTCTTTTTAAAGTACTGTTTCTACCTCAATACACTGCATATATTCTCACTGAATGTATACTAATCACTTTTCGTGTCATATTTTTAACTGTTTTGATGCATTTTAAAATCAAACGATCATAATCTTTGATTTGATTATATTACTTTTATTAAAAAGCACTTTGAATTATTATTGTGCATGAATGTGTTTAATAAATAAACTTAAGATAACGTGTCTCATGTCACACGCTCATGTCGCTTGATATAGGTATAGGGGCCAGCTTATCCTAAAAGAGGATACGCAGAAGAATGTGGATATATTATTGAGCATCTCAGGAAAATGTTGAAGTGAGTGAAGATCCACTGCAGACACTAACATTATATTGAATGAACTTGGTCTTTATTTTAAATTAATTTGCTTGATCTGTTATAAATGTCCACATATTTAATTACAGAAAAAACTGTTTGCTGTTATTGTTCTTAGTTTGTCCACGTTTATGCTATAACAAGTAGTGAAGCCATCGTTTTATCCTAAAAAATGATATATGAATTGAATGTTTATGAAAATTGACCAATTTAGACAGATATTAAACCTTATTAAAAATAAAGTTTTATCATTTTTATTGTCATTGTACTAATCTGAAAAAAAAATTGTTCAATTATTATACTTTAGTCATTATACTTATATCACAGTACATGTGGTTTAATTTGCCACATAAAATCAAAAACATAGAATTTTTTTTTAATAAACTTGGCAAATACATTTACATCCACACATTAAACCTCTGATTTCCTCGATTTTAATATATTCAAATATTTACAGATCCACATACCAAGATATGTCACAATATTTATAATGTCAGTTTTTTTGTCCCCCGACTGTTGTGGATATGATGTATAAACCAGAACAGCGAAAGTAGCCACGCCCACCAGAACAGAGACGACCAATCGGATCACAGCTTCAGTAGAACGACAACAGTGGATTTGGTTTGTTTTTCTAATAATGTAGTAGGGTATAGCCTACATGAAATATGCATAACGTATTTCATCGTGGACATGACTTTTTCTGTCTTAACATCATATTAGCTTTTTCTCTTGTTCCTTTAGCCTTTTCTCTCCCAGAAGTCAAGATTAAACCAATATTAGGCTACTCGTTTTGTATTACCTATTTTTATTAACCATTTCACACAAAGAACTGAATTTTACACCATACTGTATGGCGTACACCCCCCACCATTTCACAAGATGTAAACAACACTGGTCCAGAAGCACTTCCTGTTTCAGTTTTTTAACACTACATAAAAGCTGGGATAAAATACAACCAACAGAACATTTAAAACTGAATAAAAAAGTTAAACAAACATCTTTTAGATGTTTTCTTTACATGTGAAATAAAGAAAATAGTTACAAACTGAAACAGGAAGTGCTTCTGGACCAGTGTTGTTTACATCTTGTGAAATGGTCTCGAGATTGTCATTGTACCTATGACATTTAGTTTCACTTCCATAGCCTACGCCATTTTCTCAGAAACGATACTATACGGAATTTTGTAAAAAAAAAAAAAAAAAATTAGGCCACTTGATAACACACTTCAACACACGCAACAAATCACTAATAAATGGTCAACATGTCCACATATAGGCTACAATATAGGCTATTGTGAATTGTTTGCATATTTAATTGTGAAATTATGCTCCATTTTCCAACCCCGCCTACAGAAGATAAGACAGCGTTTCCTATCGCTTTCTTCACACAGTGACAGCAACATCGCAACCACTGGGCAGCTCAGTGTCTGACAACATCAGGAACGAGCACAGACCTCTCCGTGTCCAACACCACAGGGACGCGCACAGACACCTCCATGCCCGGCACCGACACAGGGTAGACTTTTGGGGAAAAAAACAACAACATGGGAAACTATCTTCTGATCACTCTGTTGTTGGTTACTCTGGTTGATGGTAAGTCACTTAACTTATTTTTTGTACTCTTGATAGGCAATGCATTAATGTAGAAAATGCATGAAATGAAAGTGCGCACAGGAGCTATGGATAAATATCTCTGCCGAATGCATCTGTGTAAATGCATCACACCTGCACAGGATAAAGTCACTCCATGAATTGCATCCTAATTCAGTCCATTACAGTTCAAGTTTGCGCAATGCTCAATTTTTGTTGTTGTTGTTTTGGCGAGCCTATGACAGAGAATTATTCAGCACTTCCTTTATGTTTTAACCCCTTTACATCTCTAATGTGTAATGTGAAACTGAATTATTCCCTATCTGTCCCTTTCTTATTCCGTGCCTCAGTGAGTGAACAAAAACCGAAACTTATAGTTGCACGAGAAACGATACAGCAGATAACCTTGAGCCTCTCTTTCATTCGTAACACCACTAATACATAGTCTTCAGCGGTTTAGACTAGCTGGAGCTCAAACTTAATGTTAAACTAGTCTAGCATATTCCCCTAGAATCATGATTGGCTTGAAAAGCATTGATATCTTACTTGTGAATCGTTTTGGGTTGACATTTGCATTACGTCAACTTCAGAAATACTATAGGCCTATTTAATAAGGAAGAGGAACAGGGATTTTTTTTTTTTTTTAGTCAGTCATTATAATCATAATAATTATTCTCATTATAATATATTAGTCATTGTAATTAAAAAAAATAAAACCATCTTGAGATTAAAGTCATTATAATGGCAGATTAGACTCTTTAAATTTCTAGAAAAAAGTAAATACAATGTTGAGAGAAAAAAAAGATAAATAAAGTCATTGTTTTTTGGGGGAGTCGACACAAAATGTAATTCTTGATTTTATGAATTTTTATTTCTAATTTTTTTCTCGAAATTTAACAAAAAAAGTTTATTCTCAAAGTATCAGTTTATCTCACCATTTTATTTCAAGTTTTTTACTAGAAATGTAACGAGTTTAATATCGCATCATAATGACTTTATTTTCAAAAAGGTTTTATTTTATTTTTTTATTATTGCTTGGCCCCAATCTTCTTCTGTAATAGTCCTGTATGACCTATTTTAATATTTACATGTATTATGAGGCTGTAAAAAAAATCGACATTTCTTTACAACGGAGATCTTTATGATTTAAGATCTGCTGTCATTGGCTTTCTCCTAATCAAACACATTGCTGTGTTTTTAATGTGTTACAGTAATTATTGTCCATCTTTCTCTCTCAGGTGTGTTTGGTGATGAAATGGTGACTGTGTCTGTGAATGAGGGAGAATCAGTCTTTCTAAACACTGGAGTTATCAAACAAAACCGTGATAAGATGCTGTGGTATTTCAACGACACACTCATAGCTCTGATCAACGGAGATCCCAGTACGAGCTGCTTATATGATGGAGAAGACGGGAGATTCAGAGACAGAGTGGAGGTGGACCATAAGACTGGATCTCTGACCATCACAGACATCACATCTGAACACGCTGGACGCTATGAAGCAAATTTCATCCAAAGCAAGAGCTCAGGAACCAGCACAAGCTTGAACAGAAACAGCAAGTGTGACGGCACAAAAATCACCAGGAAAATGAGCAACATCGGCGACACCATAAAAACATTCATCGTTTCCGTCAGCCGTGAGTCACTCAATCATTTCAATGTCATATGATTGTTTGAATGTCTGAACTGTCATGTTGTCACAGACCAGTTTATATCCTCTTTCCTGGTAATCTACTTATAAAACCTGTTTTTGCTGCATTTCCAGTTTGGCAAGTTTAGACTGACGCAGTTCACACACCGTCTCCATAATCCAACACTAAAAAATCGTATTATTGGTCCTTTTTCTGACTGCCGATTTATATCAAACATTATTAGTTGATCGCTGTGGCTGGTGATGTTTCTTATACAGTTATACACTTTTACACTGCAGGGAATATCTTCCTTTGTTTTTAAATTTGTTAAAAAGATATTTTAAAATCAATTGTTGTGTGCATTTATTAATTTCGCTACTTTTATTCTCTTGTATTTTCCAGCTTCTCCTTCTGTTCGTGCCAAAATCGATGAGGAATTGTACAAGGAAGAAAATTGTGTCAGGAGTATGTGTCATTCTCCCTTCATTTTTTACAGTCATGTGAAAAAGTTGGTGTGTTTGTGCCGAAAAGCTGTTTTTGGTTTTCTGATAAAATGTGACAAAGAAAGAATGGTACAAAGATGAGGATATAAAAAGAGAGCACAGAGTTTCCAAATACGTATGATGTTTTGTTTGTATCTGTCACTGTAATACTTCAAGTGTGTATGGTCACTCAACATTCATTGCATTTGTCTGCGCTTATGGGAGTCACTTCAAAAAAATGTAGTAGTGCTTGACTGATACGCTCTTCATTCCTATTTAAGCATAAGGGTGTCCTTGGTTTTTCATACATGTCTTTTTTTATTATGTCCCGATACATAAAACCATGGAATTAATTGAGGATGTAATAGAGTTTTTGTAATAGATGTAATCAGATTCACTCGCACTAATGGCTGTCTGTGTTGATCTGTTCCAGGTTCAGTTCTGATGCCAGTTTATGTAGGAGTAATATGTGCTGTTGCTGTTCTGATGTCAGTAGCTGTAGCTGTTGGTGTGATTTACTATCGTCGCAGGAGGTCTACAAATGGCAAGTGTCACCCACATGTACAATAGTAAAGCAAAATAACATCTTTATTATGAAAAATTAGCATTTAATTGTGTGTGTGTGTTCTTTTTTTTTTACTGCAGAAGGGGAGAAAAACAAGCTTGAACATTTGTTGAAAGTCTGAATATGAGGTAAGATACTAAACTACAGTAGTAGAACATTTTCATCAAAAAATACAGTGTGGTTTTACACTGTATTTTTGATGAAAATGTTAACTTTTTATTTATTTATTTTTATTTTTATTTTAACCTTTTATTTATCTATTTATTTATAACTTTTTATTTATTTAAATAGATAACTTTTTATTTATTTTAAATGGGACATTTTTGTGAAGGTTGCAATGTTGCAACCTTCACAAAAATGTCCCATTTAAAATAAATAAAAAGTTATCTAATGACACAGACAAAAGAATGTGAATTAATGCTTTAAAAGTGATTTTTGTACTTGAAATTGACTTTTTGTGCATTAAATAAATATATCTGCAGAGGAGCTGTGAAAGAGCATCTCATTTTATCCTGTTTTACAGGTTAACAGTAATCTGTCAGCCGGGTCTCCTGAGCCAGAGCTTACAACAAATACAGTACACACATCAAACACAGAGTGAAATGCATAATCTGGAGTAAAAAATATTAATTTTATATTTTACCAACAATCCAAACAGAATGAGCAGTAGTGTAAAAATAAAATAAATGGGAAAAATTGAATTTTATGAACGTCAGAAACATTTTAAACAACAATACAGTCAAAAAAACTGATATGTTGACTTTAATTAACTTTTTTTATGTAAACAGGGTTACGTTTAACAAACATAACTTGTTCATGTAACTCCAACAATGGAATTAAGTATTTTTAAGTGACCAAATTGAACTCCTAGCTAAGTGGTAAATTTAAGTGTTAAAGTAGCAGTGTTAAAGTTAAGGAGATAATGAAGTCAATAATTGAAGCAGAATCACTGAAGAAGAAAACTTTAGAAATTTTAGGTCACCATTATGGAGATCAGTATTTGTTTTAGTTGGGCTCTTAACTCTCACATCATTAACTTTAGATTTTGTTTGGCTGCTGTATTTGAGTTATATCAGCCAGATAATAAAAAAGGTGATCTGATGCTGATGCTGTTTTAACATTATAATTTTTCTGTAATCATTTGACCTGAACTTGTAAAGAAGAAAATATCTGAAATAAGTTTACCTTAGGAATTATAACATCACTGTCATTGTAGAGCATACTGATATTAGCCTTTTCAATGAAATCAAAATGATTAAATCAAGAAAGAAAAAAAATTTGTGTGCAGAATCAGACATACGATTTTGAGTATGAATCTCAGCAATGGTGACCAACAGAGCAACTGAACAAAAGCTCATTATTTATTCATGCAGCAATGCATGATGGGAGCCATGAATGAGTTTTAATGGTGGCGCCCAGAATGCATGGCAACATGCTTCATATTTGTCACCATTGTTGAGATTCACAGGCTGATTCTTTGATGTTTTTTGATATCTGTGTATGATGTTCTTAATGTCTATTTAAACGATTTTTTAAGAATGTTTTTTTATTGATTTGATCATTTGGATTTCATTGAAAAGGGTAAACAAATATTTTCTACAATGACAGTGCTGCTTTAATCCATAAGGTAAACTTAACTCAGAAATAGGGTTCTAGTGATTCAGGTCAAATGATTGTGAAATAATGATTATGTTAAAACACAACTAAGACCATCAGATCACCTTTTCTATTTGTTCATATGGCTGTTATAACTCAGATACAGCAGCCTAACAAAATATAATGTTAATGATTTGAGGGTCAAGAGCCCAAACTAAAAAGAACACGGATTGCCATAATGGTGACTTTAAATTCCATATATTTTATTTGAATGTGTTGAAGTTATATGAACTATATATTAATTATGTGCAACCTGTTGACATAAAGTAAATTTATTGAACCTGTTGTTAATTAAAGCCAACATATCATTTTTTAGAGTGTGACCAAAATTCAAGACCGAAAAAGCTCAGAACTACATGACAAAATAGTAATCAGTAAAAAAAAAAAAAAAATTGTAAAACAAATATTAATAATAATGAAGAAAAAAAGTGAACCTAATACCATTGAATGTTTGGGTTTGTCCATATTTGACACATATTTGAGTTGGGTAGTATGCAGACGACACAGTAGATCTATCACCTAACACTACAGCCCCATTGACTCCCTGTGCAAATGCATTGATGAAGTAAATAGTTGGATGTGCCAAAACCTTCTTCAGTTAAACAAAGACAAAACTCAAGTCATTGCATTGCGAAACAAAGATGAAGTTCTTAAGGTGAACGCATAACTTGAGGTATTGGATCTAAAGAAAAAAAAATCAAGTCAGGAATCTTGGTGTTAAATTTGGAGTAGGACCTTAGTTTCAGTAGTTATACCGTAATCTGGTGACGTTACTGGTATTTTAGGTAATATAATCGGACTACTTTTTAATTACTATACATCTATCTTATTTATAACATTGATTTTAAAAGTATAATCTTCTACTTGAAAGAAAATGTATGAAGTTAAAAATGTAATCTTAAAAACAGATTAAATTAAAACAATCTAAACAAAATTAAACATTTTATTTCTTTATGCTTAACTCCTTTTTCTATGTAATTAGTCACCTGACTAGTAGCCGGTTTGAGTGTGCAATTTCATGAAACTGTTGAGAACAGAAAATGTAAAAGATAGAAAAGGAAAATAATGCAAAATCAATGAATTCTGAATAATTCCCTGGCATTTTGTGAAAAATAAGTAATCATAGTAAATAAAAGTTACCATGTTCTGATTATGAGCATCTAAAAAGTATTATTATGTAATTACACGTGCTTAATTTAAAAAAAATCTGATTACACTGTAAAACACATTTTTGTAATTTTAACTGTAATATATTGTAAAATTGTAAAACAACAACCCTGCATTTAAATTGAAAAACTGTAAACGATCAGACATTTCATGTAATCTGTACAGTTAAATTCAGTTAAATGTACAGTTTTAGTAAAAAAAAGGAAAATCAAATTATAATTTACAGTGAAAAACTGTAAACTTGCATTCCCAGAATTTGCTTTGTGAAATTGTCTTTTAAAGAATTATGGCTCTTTATAGTTTTTGTTATCGCTTATGGTAACGGTTTTATGTTATGCCTTCTGTTGTTTAATGAATGTCAATTGCATTATTCAGTTGTTGTGTGTTACTATGATGGTGTTTTGTGTTTGCGTGAATGACTCTATGCACCTTCTACTGTAATTCAGCTTGTTGAAAAGCTACTGATGAACTTCTTCATGAGATATGTTTACATTTTTACTGTATTGTTTACAGAATTATTCTGAGAACCACAGCTGCATGGATAATATACTTTATACATTAACAAACCATCAGTATTTTACTGTTTCTAGTTTATAAATCACACAATGGTCCAGGACCTCAATACACTGCAGATATTCTCTCTGAATATAAACCGATCACTCAGATCATCAGGATCAAGTCAGTTAGTAATACCAAGGGTTAACTCAAAGTAAGGAGAGTACAATCACGTCAGATGTGCTGCTGTAGTCACATTCAAATCCAGATTCAAATCACACGTTGATTGCACTTTATCTTATCCTTCATGCTCATCATATTTTTAAATGTTTTAAAACATTTTAAAATTGTGCTCATAAGATCTACACCGTTCCCACTGACCAAATAGAAATAACAGCACAATCATTCCAGTGGAAAATAAGAAGAATTTCGTTCATAGATGACAGATGTGCTGTTTTATTCTGACATTCTGAATTCTAATTTCATGTTTTCTTTCAGATGAGAATCCCACAACATCAAAATCAGGTTGTTTGTGGGTTATTTAAGCTTAGCAGCTCATTTTCATTTCATTTTTACTATTTTATGTGTCAAATGTGCAAAATGTAATACAATTCAGTTCATACAGTGTCATACAAAAATGGCACCTCGGCAAAATGGCATGTTATTTATTGGGTTGAAAAGAACCGCAGAATTTGCCAAGTCTAATGAATCTGTTAATGGGACATTGTTGTCTTTTAATCAACATTTTATAAAAAACTGATTGTGACTACTTTTAAGACTACAGATTGATAAAGTATCTGTTTAGCGGAGCAATGAGAACAAAACTGAAAGGAAACTCAAGAACATGAACGAAAATACAATTAAGTCATGGCACACATTTATTTTTCATTTCTTAGCACCATCTTGTGGCAGTTTGGTGTTGCAACAAAGAAATTGATGACTTAAAGATATTTTCTTAGTGGTTGTTCTAGGTCACGTGACTTCAGTTCCAGATCCTTTCCATGCGGTTGGCCAACAAGTCTCATCTCTTTTACGTTCTTGTGCCCCGGAAAGTCTTTGCCTGTAAGTTTTTTACCCTCTTTCAGTGTTTACTTCAAATTTTACAAAAAGAAAGAGAAAGAAGAGGAAAGACTACAACAGTAAAACTTTTAACTTTACTCTTGCGTCTGCCTCCTGTTAGCTATCTATCTGTCAGTGTTGTTTGCAGAGGTTTCTCACACTGAAATGTGGATATTTTATCTGACAGAAATAAAAGGGCCCTGAATGAGTTTCATATTTGCTTATAATCCAGAAAACAAACATGCAAATATCTTTTTTGCCAATGATAAAGCATGAGTGCACCCCTGATGATGACATCATTTATTGTCATTCAAATAACCATATTCTCAAACCTTGCGGCACAATATTATATTTTTACATACATAAATTTGACTGTCCACAATGCACAATTCTTTTATTAATTTGAGGAGTGTTTCAGAGAACGTATATGGAAAAGAGATTAAAGTTTTGAAGAGATTTGATTTCAGAATAACATTTTTTAAAAGATAATATCGGAAAGATGTAGTTGAATCAAAGTAACCGAGGAGCAGGATGACAGTCTCACAGGTCCTTAACACAGATAGAGGATAATGAGGATGAACAGGACCCATCGTTCCAGCAACGGTCAGCTGTAAGGTGGAATAAAGTTATTTTGATCATTGTTGTTAGAATCAAAATAAAATTGAATATTTAACTTAAAGCACTTTGTGAAATCTAAAATTAGTCATTTCATGTTACTTTATGGTGCAAAATTGTAGGATTGTAAATTATAACTGAAAATATACAAAAAAAAAATCTGACTGTATTCTTACAGAGATAGTTGATCTCCAAACAGTTCTCGAAACCACCAGTATGGTCAGGTTGTCCAGAGCACCAGTGGGTATACAAAAACACAGATCCATCACTCCACAACCAGTGTCCATCCTGAAGAGTGAAGAGAGGGAATAAAAGAGTGCACTGCTGTTGGCAGACTTCAGGAAGAGGTACATTTACATTTATTCATTTAGCTGACACTTTTATCCAAAGAAGAAGCTTTAATTCAGATTTCAAAACAGCTTCATTAGAAACTTTGCCTTTACTGTAGCAGGATTTTTAGCTGCCTGAGACAAACAAATTGGTCTCTTTACACTCAAAATGGGGAAATGGGGGGTTTGAATGTTTCCTGGGTTGAGCGTTTGGGTGTAATTTTTTGGGTGTTTATTTTTTCAGTGTGTGGGTTGTTTTCTTGTGTTACCCAGAGCTTGGCTTTTGCCACAGGTCTCTTCAGGAGAGAGTACATCGCCGTCAAAAAGCTTCATGTCTATTGTAAAATGTATATTGTTTAAATGTTATGCAAATAAGCAACATACAGGGGCGCGATGTGAGTCACAATGTCAGTCATGTTTTTTTTCCTTTTCACCTGATGCCTCGCATGAAATTTTATTCAAAAGAACATACATATGATGTTAAATTATGTTCTCAGAACTGTACACTAGTGCCGGTTCACATATCGCGTCTTTTGCGCGCTCAAGTTCGTTATTTCAAATGTAGGCGCGCGGTATGCGCGCTCATAATGGAAGCGACGCGGTCGCGGTGCGACGCGCTCGTTTTTTCCAGGCGCGTCCGCGCCGCATCGAGATAAAAACATCTCAACTTTTCAGAATGCCGCAAGCGGACCGTAGGTCACGTGTCACGTCAACCAATCAGCTTCCTCGCCATTTTTGTTACCTCTTCTTAAAATATAATCAAACTGGTCCTTGTCCACTCTGAAATAGGCTTTGAACCTCCCATTGTCCAGGCGGAGTTCCTGAATCAGCTGGTGAAATTCCCCATGGTTCTTGCGTTTTTGTAGTATGGGGTGTACCCAAACACTGCGGCGTTTTTTTACTTTTCTGAGTAAATAAATCTTGTAACAGAGTTAGCCTACAGCAAAGGTTTTTCGGTGGTGGAAATCTATTGCTGAAATTTCCTTCATGTAATGGAGAGGGCAGCTGATGGTTGCTTAGCAACGACAGACGCCTCCTGAGTGCAACCGCCCTGGCGCTTCTTTGGAAAAAGGAGAACGCGCGCGCCTAGCGTTTTCTACGCGTTTTTAGGCGCGATATGTGAACGGCCCCTTATTGTTTATGGAGTCAGTCAAAGCGTATTTCGGTACGAGTGAAACGCAGGCTGGCGGTCTAAAGTTGTTGCCCTGCGGGGGTCAAAATTCGGCACGACACTGTTCGAGAGATCCATCGCGAACGGGACAACAGAGACTGTTCTTTTACACTTGAATTGCTTAAATGTTTAATTTTTACTTAAATGTTCTCAATATGTATTGAAAATTATATAAAGTATAGCCTACTGTACTGTAAAATATGATTGGGAAATTATTAATTAAGTAAAATATCGTTTTAATTATCATTAAAAATGTTTATAGGATTTAAGTTATTCCATAGACATTAATTCATGTATGAAGGAAATAAATAATAATAAAAAAGAATCGACTCTCATAGGTTAATCTACCCAATATGCTGGGTTACATAAACAACCCAATTTGCTGTAAAATGAACCCAGCATGAGTTCTGTCCTTTATTTACCCAGCCCTTGGGTTGTTTTTAACCCAGTGTTTTTTTTAGTGTAGTGAACTTACTTGTACAGCATCATTTGCACCAATCCAAGCACGTGTGGAAGGAGTAGGCAACAGACTCAGCAGGAAACCATTCTCCAGTTTATTACGCACAGATGCGAGATTCGCTCCAAGACTTTGACAGTTTCTCTAAAGAGACAGATTTTGTTTGTCAATACAATATGTATATATATGTGTGTTTTTAGCATTACGCAAAAGTGACAATGTCTGATCTGATTGAATGATTGATTGAATATTTGCTCAATTTGTCTCAATTTTCTGTACTATTTATTTGCAGAAAAGAAAGTTTTACTTTAAAACAATTACATTCCCACTTTATATATCTTTCTATCTATCACTGAAAAAAAAATATTGTAGGATTTCCTTGATAAAATCCTCGTAACACATTTAATCTGACTGATACTGCTCTGTACAACTAACCTGTTATTATCAAGTAAACTCTACTCACTATTGAGTTGAGTTGAGTTAACTATTTACATTTAATTGAAGTAATTAAGTAAATATTAAAGTTGTAAGTAATATTTATATAAAACAAGTAAAGTTGAGTTTACTGTTTACATTTAATTGACTTAATTAAGCAAATATTACTTTATAATATTTTATATATTTAATTTCACATATAGAATAAAGTACCATATACTTAACTAACTTCAGTAAATTTAACAATGAATTTTGTACTCAATTGAAAAAAACTGAATTAAACCACACATGTAAAGCATATACTATACAAACATCTAAATAAATAATTCAATAGATATTGAATCGAACAACAAGATAAATGAACACAGAGACCTCAATACTTGGTACACAATGATGGTATTCGATAGATCAATTTTGAGTATGACTGTCATTTTGGGAAAATTAAAATTAATCCAGATATCACAAAATGGCAAGTTACTAAACCTAACAACAAAAGCGATGATAAAATGGTGCATGGAAAACAGTAAAAAATCAACCTTATTATTTATTCATGTCCCAGTGCACAAAGAGAACACCGTTATTAAAAAATAAAAATACGGTGTGTTACTGTTTTTGACATTAACAGCTAAATACTGTATTGTCATCTACAGTATAAAACTTTAATTTAACAGCTATATGCTCTAACGCAAAAACAGTAACACACCGTACAGTTATGGTATGATGCTGGGAACCACAGCTGCCATTAGTTTACCGTTTTTTTACAGGATTATTTTTACAGTGAGTGACTTTGTTCTTAAATTCTTGTCTGAACTCACTTTTTCATGTAGAAATTATTATTATTTTTTTCTGTTGTATTGACTTCATCAGAGAATCATTTTTATCAGTTTTAATTAATAATTTGATACAATACACTTATTGTGCATGCATGTCTTTACATCTGTCTTTTAAAGACACCTAATGTGACCAAATCCTCTTGTTGTAACACATTACCTCTGCTGTGATCCAGTTAGTCGGATGAGAAATGAACTTGTAGCATCGGAGTCCATAACAAACTGCCTGGGAGCTCCTCCTCCCCTTCAATCAGGGGTGAACCAGGTGGAACAAATCTTCCAAGAAGTCTGAGCGTGTTAGTACCTGGCTCTGATTGTTGTCTTTAAACCGTAGTGGAAGGACCATTTATAGCTCCACAAGACTAAGAAAACTTTATCTTTGTCATTAAAGTGATTGTGCAAGATCAAGCCCTCCACAAAACTGTGAAGGACAGCCGGTTTTTCACCTGTTTACTGCCCAAGAAAGAATGGTTAATAAAAGACAAACAACTGATTCCATGGCTGTTTATTGAGTGAGATCCAGTTAAGATCTTCATGTGGAGGGATTGTCCTTTTCAAGTGGGGAATTGCACAAGAAATAAACCAAAACTTGACAGTGAAAAACCGCTCTCAAGACTGGAGAAGGACCAGAAAATTGAGACGTGTGTCCATAGAGACAAGTAAAGACTGTTCCCGCCCTGCTGTTGTGATTGAAATGGCTGAGTCATTACAGATGGAGCAGCTCAAGACCGCAAGGACATCAGCGAAGCGTCAGTTTTCCCGTCTGGCCAATAATGTGCTACGAATGCATACAATGATGTCAGAAGAGGAGCTCAGAGACACTTTTAAGAAGCTCACTGCAGAAGCTGGTAAAGTCCTGGAAGCCAACGATGATGTAGTGGAGAAATATATTGAAGAAAACTCTGATGCAGAAGAGTTGAGTGAGCAGCAAAAGAAGGACTTGGTTAAGACAGCCAATGAGTGTGAGGAAAAGCTGCAAGAGCTAAAGGACCTCATTCAAAGGACATTGTGGACCAATTTCGGGGAATATGAACTGACACAAGCAATTACAACAGCGGAGTCGCAAGCAGAAAACGTGGGAGCTGTGGACCCAAGTAAGAACCCAGATGCATATCTCTTCATGATCGAGCAACTAGAGAAACTTGTGAAGGCTGCGAAGGAGGTGCATAAGCATTGGAAGTGCTGGGTCATCCCAGCAGAGCAACAACAGTTCCAGAGTCGTATCAAAGACCTTGAAACCATCCTGCCAAAACTTACAATAAGACAAGCAGAATTTATGGGAGCACACGTCGGAGGAGAAACCAGCAGATTAAGTACTACTTTAATCAGTCGTGTGACCACACCAGTGATTAAATTGAAGCCAGCTGCCCTCCCAAAGTTTTCTGGCATACGCCGAGAATTTCACCGATGGAAAAAGGATTGGGAAGCACTTCAGTTGCAGGGAGAACCTACTGGATCCAAAGAGATTAAAAAGTTCCAACTTCTCGACAGCGTGGATGAGAAGACAATACGAGACCTCCGCCTTACAACTTATACAACTGCTGAGGAGGTTTTCCGAGTTTTGGAGAACCGCTTTGGAAATAAGACAACTATAGCCCTCGAGATAGTTGAAGAGCTCCAAAGACTCCAAGCAGTTAAAGGTAATCAGCCTAGGAGGATCGTTGAGCTCATCCAATCTGTAGAAAAAGCCCTGGTTGATCTGAATGAGCTTGGTAAGACTGGTGCTATAAAGAACCCTCTTGTAACAAAAACAATAGAGAGTAAACTTCCTGATGGTCTGAAAAAGGAATGGCTTCTTCATGTAGCTGGCAAAGGTGATGAAGCTGAAGAAGACAGGCGATTTGATTACCTCCTTAAGTTTCTTCAAGGTCAAGAAGCCATCTATGAGAAGCTGGACCAACTGAGAGAGGAGGAACCAAAACCAAAACTCGAACCTCGGCAAGCTCGAACCAGAACTTCCATCCACCTGAGCAACCAGACTCAAGGATGTGTGGTCTGTGGAGACGGCAAGCATAAGAAGAAGCTATACTTCTGCCAAAAGTTTCGTGCGCTTAAGCTGTCAGAGAAAAGAGATGCTGTCAGGAATCTGGGAGCCTGCAAAAAATGCCTGGAGATTCACAGTGAAGGTGATCATTGTAAATCAGAGTTTCTGTGTAGGAGGCCAGACTGCAGAGAACAGCGTGATGCAGAACACCACTATTATCTTTGCCCAAGAGCTGATTCGTCCAAAGAGAATGTTGTCCAGAGGTCCAACAACAGCAAAGTGGGAGGTAAAACAAGAGAGCGTTATACCCAAGCCCAAGAAGAGTTCATTAAAAGCCTCTCACCTGAATCTGCAGAGAAATGTCGCAATGTCTTTTGCAACTCTATAGCCAGAACCTCTCTTGTGTCTAACCAACCCAGTCTTCTAGCAGAAAATGGAATTGTGGAGTGGCCAGTCATCATGATGCTCTTGGAGGTCACGGCCAATGCAGGACAAAAAGTTGGGACTTTGATCGACCTCGCATCGGAGACAAATTACATAACTCATGATGAAGCTGATCGTTTGAACCTTAGAAGTGAAGCCATAACCCTTGTTGTCCACGGTGTGGGAGGAATGAAAGTTCAAGTTACCACAAAACGGTACCTCCTAAAGATCCGGGTCCGCACAGAGCAAGGCAACTTCAGATCCCACCAACTCCTCTGCTATGGTTTAGACAGCATTGCAGAAATCCACAAACATGTGACAGCCAAAAGACTCCAAAAGTTCTTTCCAGATGTCCCCCAAAATGAACTTGTGAGACCAAGACAGATACATCTTTTGATAAGCCATAAGGAAGGGCGACTGGTCCCACAGAAAATGCGCACCGTTGGAGACCTTGTACTATGGGATGGGCCGTTGGGAAAGACAATTGCAGGAACACACCCTGGTCTGTTTGAAGAGGCTACAGTTACAGCACACCAGTCCAGAGCGCACTTCGCCAGGTCAATGAGAACAGCAGCATTGATGTATGAGGAACACATTTGCGACAAACCTACTATCAAGTCGTCTTGTTCTGCTATTACCACTCGGGATTTTGTTGAGTGGTGGAGATGGGATAGCATTGGTGCCCCCTGCACCCCAAAATGTGGAGGATGTCGCTGCGGCAGTTGTCAACCTGGTGGCAAAGAAATGACACTGGCTGAGGAAAGGGAGCTGGAAGTTGTAAAGGGTGGCCTGACTTATGTTGGAGCTGATGACCACAGTGATAGTCCGCACTGGCATGCAAGATATCCATGGGTCATGGACCCATCTACATTGCCAAACAACAGGAACGCAGTGGAGGCAACCTTCCTCAGAACAGAGAGACAGCTCGCCAAAGAACTGCAGTGGAAAAAAGCCTATAGTGCTCAAGTCCACGAAATGGTTGACCGCCGGGCTGCAAAAAAGCTGACCAAGGAGGATCTAACGAACTGGAATGGACCTTTCTGGTATATTAGTCATCTTATTGCTCCTAACCCCCACTCTGTTACTACTCCGGTAAGACTTGTCTGGAACAGCAGTCAGAAGTACAAAGGCCAAAGTCTCAATGACTTTCTAATGAAAGGCCCCGACGTTCTCAACCCAATTCGAGCTGTCCTCCTCAAGTTCCGCCAAGGCTCCTTCGCTGCTTTAGGAGATGTCATAAAAATGTACAATTCTGTGTGGCTCGAGGAGAGGGAAGTCCATCTACACCGGTTCTTGTGGCGTGACTCAGAGGATGATGAGCTAGAACAGTACGCCGTAACCAGAGTGAACATCGGGGACAAGCCAGCAGGTTGCATAGCACAACTTGCCATGAGGGAGACGGCTAACCTACCTCAATTCAGCCACCTCACAGATGAATGCCAAGTATTACATGAGCACAGCTACGTTGATGACATCTTGACATCCCACAACTGCCGTGAAAGACTTGAAGTCATCACAAAGAATGTGGAGCTTATTCTAAAAGCAGGAGGGTTTGCACTGAAGCCTTGGGTCTTCTCAGGTCAAGGTAAAGGAGAAAGAGGAAAGGCTTCACCAAATATTGTTGTCCTGCCGAACCAGCTTAAGGAGGAAGACAACAAGGCGCTCGGTCTCGGCTACATGGTGGATGAAGACATGTTGCATGTCATGGTGCGGGTCAACTTCTCCAGGCGAAAGAAAAAGATGAGACTTGGGCAAGACTTGTTGCTAGAAGAAGTACGAGCACAGACACCAGACCCGATGACAAGACGTGAACTGTTGAGTCAAATTGCTGGTTTGTATGACCCAGTTGGCCTGACAACGCCATCAAAGCAAAAAGGGGCTATCTTAGTACGAAGGGCATTCCAAGAGGCAAAACCAAAGTGCAGCATGGTTAAGGACACATGGGATCTTCCTCTGTCGGATGAGCTCCGCGAGGATGCAATTGGAATTTTTGAGGAGTATGTCCAGCTAAGCAAAATAAAGTTCCCAAGAGCCCTTACTCCACTAAATGCATCAACTGAACCAGTCGCTGTCACTTTTTCAGATGGAAGTGAAAGCTCCTATGGTGCTGTCCTCTACTTGCGGTGGAATTGTAATGAACAATTAACAATTCGACTAGTGGAGTCAAAAGCGAAGCTGACACCTCTCGACCAGAAGGGGGATGCGGTCAAAGCAGAACTTTGCGGTGCAGTTTTTGCAAGCCGCCTGAAAAAGTACTTTGAACAGCATACCCAGATCCAGATAAAAAGGTGGTACCATTTGTTAGACAGTCAGACTATTCTTGGAGCTATCCAGCGTGAAAGCTATGGATTTCAGACTTTCTTCGCTAACAGAATTGGAGAGATCCAAGAAAGTACACGGCTACAGGACTGGTGGTGGATCCCTGGACAACTCAATATAGCCGACATTATCACTCGAGGAGCGGGGCCAAAGGAACTTGATGCCCATTCAGAGTGGCAGCAAGGGCCAGAGTTTCTACATCTGCCAGAGGACGAGTGGCCAGTTATGTCATCAAAAGATGTGTCTGTGACGGCTCGAGAAAGCATTAACAGTATGCAAAAGAAGTCATTTGCGGCAGCACTCACGAGAGCCCAAGAGAAAGGAAGTCTTCCAAGTCTTGTGGGACGACTTCCTGCTGGTGCAGCTGTCCAAAATTTGGTGGATGTGAGGCGCTTTAGTAGCCTGAATTGTTTAATCAAGACTGTTGCTTTTATCTGGAGAGCCGCCAAAAAGTTTACATCTGCAATAAAGTCCATTGAGAACCCAAAGTGGGAGGCGATTCCCTCAAAAGGAGTCATCACCGTTATAGAGCGTCAAGAAGTAATAAGAGACATCTATCTTGCTGCTCAAGAGGGGGTGACGTTCCCAGCTACTACTATGGACCGCTTGGTTGTGTACAAAGAGCCAGGATCTGGGTTACTAGTTTGCGGTGGGAGAATCCATGGCTTCAGGGAGGATCGCGCTGCAGTTCCCCTTCTGCCTTTCAATGCATGGGTCTCAACTTTATTGGCAAGGGAGGCGCACGATGAGGGTCATGAAGGTGTGGCTGCAACCCTGCTGAAAATGAGAAAGAAAGCCTGGGTCATCCAAGGGAGGAAAATTGCCCAAAAAGTAGTGGAGAACTGCCTCTTCTGCAAAAAGTCAAGAGCAAGAAGGTGCAAACAAGTTATGGCTGACCTACCTCCTGAAAGAGTCTCACCTGCAGCCCCATTCGAGTTCACTACAGTCGACCTCTTCGGGCCGTATTTTGTCAAAGATGACGTCAGGAAACGTGTCTCAATGAAAGTGTGGGGTATCGTCTTCAGCTGTATGGCCAGCAGGGCAAGTCATGCAGATTTGGTCAACACAATGTCGACAGAGAGCTTTTTGATGGCTTACCAACGCTTTACTGCAATAAGAGGGCACCCAAAAAGGATCTGGTCTGATCCAGGGACAAATTTCATCGGTGCCAAACCAGTCCTAAAAGAGCTGTATCAGTTCCTGGATGCTCAGAACAGAACTTTAATAGAAGAGATGTCGGCTCAAAAATGTACCAAATGGGAGTGGACAATTCACCCTGCTGACTCACCTCACCGCAATGGGGCTGCTGAAGCTGCTGTCCGCATTCTCAAGAAGGCACTCCTGAGCCTGGGCAACAACACTGGCCTGAGCTACAGCGAGTTTCAGACAACACTACAACTTGCTGCAAACCTTGCCAACGAACGCCCTATAGACGCCAGGGTGCAGAGCCATGAAGAAGGCGTACATTATGTTTCACCCAACACCCTTCTTCTGGGCCGAGCTTCTCCTAGTGGTGAGACCAGAACATTTGACTTTGCAAACTACCCTTACAAGAGACTCAGAGAGATGCAGAACCAGGTCAACAAGTTCTGGAGGTCTTGGAGCCAGCTTGCTGGCCCAAACTTATTTCTGAGAAGTAAATGGCACACTTTGCATCGCAATGTTGCTGTCGGAGATATTGTCTGGTTGTGCGACCAAAATGCAGTGAGGGGCCAATTCAAGCTAGGACGGGTGGTGAGCGTCAATTCAGATGCTAAGGGCATTGTTCGAGACGTAAATGTCAAAGTGGTCCAAAGTTCATGCCTTTCTGTCACAAAACCCGCACTAAACCGGCCATCGGCCAAAGTCCTGAAAGAAGCTACTCAAACCACGGTTCTGCACAGAGATGTTCGACGCCTGGTTGTCTTGCTACCAGTGGAGGACCAAACTTGGAGCTGACCGGCAGTAAGCAGGCGCTGATTTACGATCTTTCCATCGGTTCCCGTGGGAAGATCGAGTGGGAGGTGTGCTAACAAACTGCCTGGGAGCTCCTCCTCCCCTTCAATCAGGGGTGAACCAGGTGGAACAAATCTTCCAAGAAGTCTGAGCGTGTTAGTACCTGGCTCTGATTGTTGTCTTTAAACCGTAGTGGAAGGACCATTTATAGCTCCACAAGACTAAGAAAACTTTATCTTTGTCATTAAAGTGATTGTGCAAGATCAAGCCCTCCACAAAACTGTGAAGGACAGCCGGTTTTTCACCTGTTTACTGCCCAAGAAAGAATGGTTAATAAAAGACAAACAACTGATTCCATGGCTGTTTATTGAGTGAGATCCAGTTAAGATCTTCATGTGGAGGGATTGTCCTTTTCAAGTGGGGAATTGCACAAGAAATAAACCAAAACTTGACATTGTGTCCATGTGGCGGGGCATCTGTCTAAATCAACTGCATCCAGTCTATTAACATTTCTTGTAACATTCACTGCAAAGAATTATTTTTATTTTTTAGTTATGCAGCTTAATTTATGTTTTTGTGATTATGTGCTGAAAATATGTACTTTATACACGGTAAACCCCTCATTAATCATACAAAGTCAATTGATTATTGTACATTCCCAAGATATTTTTAAAATAGCAAGGGTTTTTACGAATAAATGTGTTGGTTACCTTCTGTATTCCCCATGGAGAAGATAATGAAGAGAAGCAGACAGCTTATTAGCATTGCCATGATGAACCTGAACTGAATAAGCAGGAATAAGCATGCACTCATATGCTGCACACTGAGATCCTCAATGCATTTAAAGGGTTAGTTCACCCAAAAATGAAAATTCTGTCAGTATTTACTCACCCTCATGTTGTTCCAAACCTTTATGTGTTTATTTGTTCTGCTGAACACAAAGAAGATATTTGGAAGAATGTTTTAATCAAACAGATCTCAGAATCCCCCAAAAATACATACTATGGTAGTCAATGGGGATTCTGAGATCTGTTTTATTAAAACATTCTTCCAAATATCTTCCTTTGTGTTCAGCAGAACAAATAAACACAAAGAGGTTTGGACCAACATGAGGGTGAGTAAATACTGACAGAATTTTTGGGTGAACTAACCCTTTAATAACAAAGCAGAAAAAACACTTCAGGAACAACATTTATTCGTAACTCACTTTGTTTTTTAAATCCTTACCTTCAGAGTCTCAGAGAAAGATTTTGTGAAGAACCAGAGCCGGTGTAACACAGTAACATTATCATACCTATTGAATGATGATGGGTCATATTTATACACATAATTTCAGGCAATTACATCCGGGTGTCCTGGGCAAAGATCAAACCATTTCTGGCATATTAGTTATAGATTTATAGCAACAATTAAGAGGTCAAATGTTCAAATGTATTTTTGTGTCTTGAGTTCCTGTTTGTGCGTGAGTCCAAGGCCTTTTTCCAAGATTTTTCTTTTTCAAGTTTTTAAACTCATATTTTTTAAGTAAATGTCACATCTATGGAATTCAAGATGCAAGATTCAATACTTTTATATTGCCATACAACTCTGTTCAAGTTGTCAGGGATTTGCCTCGGTGTGCCCATAATCATCAAGATACAGCCAAAGACATAGAGCAAATATTTACACAGGTAGAAGTGACAATTTAGGGAAACAAAGCGTCAATCCACAACTTACAATAAATAGATAAAATAACACTAGTATTTGCCATAAAGTTTATAAAAAGGTATAATAAAACACTATAAAGAAATGTGCAAATTATGCAGACTCGTTAAGAGAACCTGTTTTCCATAAGGAAGTGGTTCATTACATTAGAGATGTAATGACTCTGTGTGCTGTTGAGGAACCGGGAGGTTTTTGTCTTAATAGTTCACTTAAAAAAAAAACATTTTGCTGATAATTTACTCACCCCCATTTTACTATAGCACTGAAATAAGCCATGCATTTAAAACATGTAAACACTATATTGTGTGTTACACTGTAAGACTACATATCTACACATTATAATGAGGTACCCAACCGAACACATAGACTCCAATACTTCACTATACAACACACACCAGTGACAGAGACAATTACTCCTTTATCATACATATTTTCTGAGTAAGGGGTCGTTTACCCAAGAGGACGTTTGACATGTAACACAATCAATCAGTTCAGTGCTCTGTATCATGTTTAGGGAGCGTCACTTTGAGGAAATCAATTCTATATGTCATAAAAACACAACACTGAACATAACAAGGAAACAATAGATGGCCTATATAGATATCTTAATAACTATCCTAAATAACTATATTTATTTGTACCAAATATTACACCTCTTCATGATATGAAAGTCTTATTTTCACTTTAAGTGCTACCATTTCTACTGGCAGTTACTTTACAGTATAATATATAGGCCTATTTACGACTATACACAGCCTATTGCGTAACGAACTAGAACATGTGTTATGGTGTGTTGTCCCTTATTCTTTTCCTTAATTTCCAATAAAGAACCACAATTGTCCCTCTTTTTTTCCTTTCCATAAGTTGGTCACCCTATATGCTCCTCCTGCTATTAATAACTACTGAAAATACTGCGTATCAAAGCACGAGTAACTAACTATATATGAGATCATGAATATATATGCATATTTCCTACATTATCAATGTCATTGCAGGAGTTTGTGAAATGATCATACACAGATGTACTGTATGTGGTACTTTTATTAAAATACTGAATCATCATCTCCTGCTGACAGACACACACTCCACGTGACTCTCCTCTTCAGCGTTCTGTGAAAGACACATCACACAACATATATTAAGATATTTCAAATAAAAACAAAAACAAATAATTAGCATAAACCGCAAAGTCTTCACTATGTTAAATCATCACAACACAAGCTGAATGGGAAAACTGACATTATTGTATTAATATTAACATTAATATGAATTTGTGTCTGAATACAGTAGTTTGAGTTTCTAAACTAATGCATTTGCATCAACATTGATTTAAACACATTTCCCCATCATAAATGTATATGCACACGAACTAGGTGAACAATAACAATAAAATAAAGACATTTGGGGGTACTCTTTCTCTAAACATTAACATTACAGGGAATGTTATTATGAGCCCCACAATAGCTTCTTTTAGAGAAAATATCTGAGAAAAATAAATAATAAATATCTGAGAAAATATTTTTGAGAAAATATCTGATGTGTGCTGATGATTATAGAAACACAATCACACACACTGATCTCCATCTGACTCACTGCTGAATGAGACAAACACACACAACAGAAACTAATGATAAATGATCTTACCGATGTTTGTGTCTTTTTCATTGAACGATGGATGAAGTGACATAACAACACATGTTTTCTCATCTTCACGAATCTGAACTGTATGAACTGGAAGAGATTATTTATTTATTTATTTATTTATTTTACGACATGTGTGATTATTAGGCTGTCGACGTTATTGCACACAATTAATTACATATATTTAATACTGATATTTTATAAAAATATCAAAATTGAATTTGACATCATTACTTTTCTCACACACAAATCATCATTATTTCCAGAGTAAAAGTAAATACAGAGTAAAGAGCTGCTCAGATCAATGCAACAACCAGTAACAAACATTATTTAACGTTGTAAATACATATTTAAATATTAAATTATAAAATGGGCTATCAATTGATAAAATTTAGAATAGATTTTATTATTATTTGTTTACACTTGTTAAAAGCAGGTTACTCTTGCCTTGATCAGTTTTCCTACATTTCTTGCAGATGCAGAAGATTACGACGACTACAGCAACAATCATCAGAGATCCCGCAGAGATCAGGACAAGGGAAAATAAGGGTACGCCTTGATCTGTAATGGACAGAATGGAGGTGAATGTGTCTGATCTACACCAGAAGACAGAGATCAGGTCAGTAAACACACACACACACACATATCTGATGAGTGGTGTACCTGCACATGTGTGGTTGCAGAGTGTGTTGATGTCCAGATGTGTGGTCTGGTTGCTGATGGGATTGTTCAGCACACAGCTGTAGGTGTTTTTATCCTGATATTCCACCTCCAGAGGTAGAGAGAGACTGATGCTGAGATCACACACACTGATGCTGGACAATACACTCATTCCTGCGTACCAGGACAGAGTCGCATCACACACACTCAACACTGATGATGAACACACCACTGAACAATTTGATGATGATGAAGAACAGTCTCTGATGATGACAGGAACAGGCAGACGAGCTGAGAAAGATTCGAATAAATCATAATATAAATCATAATATCTGCTGAGTGATCAGTTTGTGATTTTCAGATTTTGACTTTTTTTACTCAGACGTGCCTTTATCAAAATAATGAATCCAAAGAAAAGTGTTCAGAAGGCCGAGAAGGGAAAGTCAAACATGATTCTGTATCTCACATTTTACTTTAAAATAATATATTTATAATATGTTTACTTCAAAGTGATTAAGAAATAAAGGAAACCAATGATAAACTCACAATAGACAGTGAGATTGAAATTCTTGCTCAGATTTTTGATCATCTGTAGTCGATAAACTCCAGTGTGTTCAGTTGTGGTGTGTGTGATGGTCAGAGATCCAGTTTGATGATCCAGTTTCAGTCTGTCTCTGAATCTCCCATCAGGATCATCATCATATACAGTCAGTCTGTCCTCCAGTACATCGATTTCAGCAATTAAAGTGTTTTCATCTCCAAACCTCCAGCGAATCTGATCATCGTCCTTCATTTCAGTGAGATCAGAGTTCAGAGAGACTGAATCTCCCTCCGTCACCGACACTGACTTCACTGCAAACACTCCTGGAGAACACACACACACACACACACACGTAAACAATAAAAAAAACAAAACCTCATGCAGTCTTTGCCATTTGCAATCAGAGATTTTACCGGTTCTACAGTGTTTCCTCACTGATTTTGCTAAACACAAAAAACTTCTAAAACTAAATATTTTGAATAATTTTCTTGAGACTGTGAAACATTTTTCTTTAAACACCTTAATCTGTTATTCACAAGTAAATGTGTAATGAATTTAAGGAGATTATTAACAAGTCGACTGAATATGTCCATTATGTGATAAACCTTCAATGTATTACTTTGTATTGAAACGAAAGCATGATCTAAATCAGTAAAAACATTGAGACAAAAATGCATTAAATAAAACTCACCATCCAGACGCCACAAACACAAGCTGAGCAAAACTACATGAACCATTTTCTCTGATCACTGTAACATTATAATGAACATCTCAGAGAGCTGTCTTACTTCAACTGTTACATGTGTGTGTGTGTGTGTGTGTGTGTGTGTGTGTGTGTGTGTGTGTGTGTGTGTGTGTGTGTGTGTGTGTGTGTGTGTGTGTGTATCCTCCCCATCAGGACTCGACCACCCTTCACTGACCACACACTGGATTTCACACTAAAACACAACAGTCTATCAATTTCAAAAAATTCAGTCTTTATCATTATCAAAATATTTTGTTATTATCTCTCTCTCTCTCTCTCTCTCTCTCTCTCTCTCTCTGAGTAGAAATAATTATGGATGTAAATATAACTTCACATGTGATGTGTTAAATATTAAATATTTTTGAATATTTTTAATATTTTGATATATCTTTTATCAGTATGAGTTTTCGTAACAGAGAGAAAATAAAGACACTCTTCTTTACCCACAAACAACTGACACACACACACACACACATAACACAATAACACATATTTTCCATCCATCAGGTCAATCTACTCTTTCTTTTTTTAATAAATGAGGCCGCAGAAGTTTCACTTTGACTCAGTTTTCTGGTGTCACATTCATTGTCTCGTGTTTATTCTCTGCGCTAGAAAATAAAAGCGCTGTGGTTTTCTGTGGAGATGCGGTTAAACATATCCTATGTTTGAAATGCAACCATAGTGGGGTTGGCTGAAAATCTTGTTCACCTTGAAATTAATCCTTCTGTAAAATTTCAGTGCGCGTAACCCGAACCCTCATTTTAAAATCAGTCTTGTTTACTTACTATTAACCCTGATTTATGCACAAAAAAAAGAAAGAAACTTTTTTATTTTAAAATTTTAAATGTTCAATTCATGGACTGATTGCACTATAAAAAATAAAGATAGAGTTGATTAAAAAAACATCCAAACAATAAGAAATCTCAAAACAAAAGGGACACGTGATAGTTAGTCCACCTCCCCAGAAAACTATAACACAAGTTTCAAGCCTAATTTGTCAAACTTTTGTTGTGGTTTTCTGAGGAGATGGACAAACTATCGCGTGTCCCTTTTGTTTTGAAAACCACAACACAAATTTGACAAATTAGGCCTGCTGTACGCTACGCCACAGTGGCTGTGTGTGTCCTGCTTCACACAGGACGGAGGTTCGTATCATTGCGTCTGTCACGTGACAAATGAACGAAACACTCGGAAGGTAAAAAGTAACTATTTATGTTCAGCATCCGCATTTGAGTGTGGCTTAACACAGTCTGGACAACCTTTGATAATCTGGGGAATTTTAAAATGCCACTTGCCCGATTTGCCAAACCTTAATTGGTACCATAAGCCTATTTTTAGTTTTAGTGAGCCCACATAACGCACTTCAGACAAAGTTTGCAACTATAGTTGAAGTCTGTAGCCTGTACTCTCGATGTAGACAGATGTTACAGCTGTGGACATTAAACTCCTCTCGGCAATGAAGCCTTGTACAGGGAACAGCGCCCTCTGCTGGCCCGCACTGCATGTTTCAGAGACGGCCTTCCAGGTGGTTGCGCCTCGACTGTGGAGTGCCCTCTCTAACCACCGGAGGGCGCCACAGTCTATAGATGAATTTACAAATAAATTAAAGAGCTATCATTTTGTTTCCTGATGTCTTTGACTGTTTTATGTGTTTTTTTGTCTTTTTACCTGTGCACCTCTAGCACTTTGAGATGTGTTCTTCACATGTAAAGTACAATACGAATAAACATATTATTAATACAAATAAAACTTGTTATTATTACTATGTTTTATCAACCAAGAATGTTTTTTGAACAAAAGGTATTTTCTTACATATAGGCTAAATAAGTTTTTGTAGTAATTGCACGCACACACACATACACACAGGAAATTAAAAAATACATTCTAATCTATAAAGTAGGCTATGTCTGTTTTATTGATCAATTAATGTACTGATTTGAAATCTTAAAGGAGTGGTTCACTTTTAAGAAAACTTTTGCTGATAATTTACTCACCCTTTATTGAAAGTGGATCATTATATGTAGTCGAAATGTAAAAGAACTTTTGAAGTTGGTACTGAGAAAAGACAGAAAATAACCGAGGGGCGCATTTGAATGAAAGACTAACACCCACAATGCACACTCTCAGGAAAAAAAGGTACAAAAGCCATCACTGGGGCTGTACCTTTTCAAAAGGTACACTTTTGTACCCAAAGGCTGCATATTGGTACCTTAGTGGTACATATTACTACCTAAAATGTACATATTAGCACCTAAAATGTACATATTAACACCTAAAAAGTACATATTAACACCTAAAATGTACATATTGGTACCTTAGTGGTACATATTAACACCTAAAATGTACATATTACCACCTAAAATGAACATATTAACACCTAAAATGAACATATTAACACCTAAAATGTACATATTAGCACTTAAAATTTACATATTAACTCATAAAATATACATATTAACACTTAAAATGTACATATTAGCACAATAAATGTACATAATATTAGCACTTAAAATGTACATATTAACACTTAAAATATACATATACTTAAAATGTACATATTAGCACCTAAAATGTACATATCAACACTTAAAATGTGTTAATTTTTAAATGTGTTCGGCCGGTGGCGTGAGTGATAATGAAAGGCAAGAGACGCACCGAGGAGCGGGAGCATAAACGGCAGATCGAGAGAGAAACAAGCCTGATTTTCTGTTGTGTGTGGACATCAGTCGTCAATGAGGGGCTGTTGGCTTATACTTTCGTTTTGTATTTGTTCTTTTTACTATTAAAATATTTAAATGTTCGCCGATTCCCGCCTCCTTCTTCCCACAACAACAAACCCCGTTAACGTTACGTTGAAAAACTCATTAGTGAATTAGCCTAGGCTACTCCTCGTTTGTAGGCTATTTCTTTCTAAATATGGTGAATTGGGCTACTGTTCAAGCAGGAAGTAAAATACTTAAATCCTTATTTCTCCCATCTCAGGAGAAAATAAGGGAATAAATTGACCATTCAAAAATATGGCTGGGTTTCTAAAGATACAAAGCTTAATGCAAATGGGTGAAGTGTCCCTTTAATAGAAAGTGGCTTTGGTTTCCATGTGGATCCGGTGTTGATGAGCGGGTGCAAGTTTTTTTTATTTTTATTTTTTTTAGTAGGCTATTGTAAATTACAAAAATTATTCAGATACTTGCAAACAGAAACAAAAAGGTTAACAAATTTCTCATATAGCGGGTGCAGGTGTGGTGAGTCAGTCCTCTGGTGATGACGAGTGGATGGGCGGAGTCGGGTGATCGGGCGCTGATGGTGCGGCAGGTGTTACTGATGACTCCGGGACAGTTATTTGAGTATAAATATCACCCGTCTTCATTAGATATGACAATGTTAAGGTGGTTCACCGGCTCTGGTTCTTCACCAAATCTTTCTCTGAGACTCTGAAGGGAACAATTTAAAAGCCAAAGTGAGTTCTGCATTGATGTTGTTCCTGAAGTGTTTTTGTGTTTAAATGCATTGAGGATCGCAGTGTGCATGCAGGCAGACATTTAACTTTTCCTGCTTATTCATTTCAGGTTCATCATGTCAATGCTAAAAAGCTGTCTGCTTCTCTTCATTATCTTCTCCATGGGGAATACAGAAGGTAACCAAGTCATTTATTCGTAAAAACCCTTGCTATTTAAAACATCTTGAAAATGTACAATATTCCATTGATTGGTATTTGCATGATTAATAAAGGGTTTACCGTGTTTTCAGAACCTGATCACGGAAATGGCAGTAAATGCCCTGCTACATGGAGGAGTTTTGGACTCCGATGCTATAAGTACTTTTCTGATGCGAGTAACTGGATCACAGCAGAGGTAATGTGTTACAACAAGAGGACTGACGACACACTTTATTTTAGGGGTCTTTAACCACATCTAAAATACAGATGTAAAGACGCATACACAAGTGCAAGAGTGAGTTCAGGCAAGAATTTAATAAACAAAGGAAATTGAGTTCTACATAAGTTTATTTGTGTAGAAATTAAACCTTAAATGTCAACAAAATAAAATTTAAAACCTTCACTTTTATAATACTGGTGTATTGTATTTATTTGGGTGTTTAAGAAATAGTTATATTGACTGGGGGGGAGTGAATTGTTAAGTGGATGTTGCTTAATTCTATGATTGAAATAATTTTTAATTTACTTCGATCAAACGTCATACTAATTGAAGTCCAAGATTTTACTTGCTAATAACAGGTATATCCTACAAGTCATCTTTCCCCAGTGATTAATGAAACCCTTACTATAAAGTGGGATTGTTATTTTGTGTAGTCAACTTTCTTTTCTGCAAATAACTGATACCGAAAACTGGTACTGCGCAAATAATCAGAGCAAACTTTGTTTACAAATGTCTAAAATGCTGTCATTTGTTTTATAATAAAATAGATTTTTGCGTTGACTGTAATCTGTCTCTTTAGAGAAACTGTCAGAGTCTTGGAGCGAATCTCGCATCTGTGAGTAATAAACTGGAAAATAAATTCCTGCTGAGTCTGTTGCCTTCTCCTTCAACACGTACTTGGATTGGTGCTCATGATGCTGTACAAGTAAGTTCAGTTGTGTGTCCTAAAGAGACCTATTTGTTTGTCTGAACTACAATTTCTGCTTTAAACAGTAAAGGCAAAGTTTCTAATGAAGATGTTTTGACTTCAAATCTGAACTAAAGCTTCTTCCTGAAGTCTGCCAACAGTAGCGCACTCTTTTATTCCCTCTCTTCAGGATGGACATTGGTTGTGGAGTGATAAAGCTGTGTTTTCATACACCAACTGGTGCTCTGGAGAACCCAACAATTACCAGCAGCGTCCCGAGAACTGTTTGGAGATCAACTATACCGGTAAGAATACAGCCTTTTTAATACTTTGTGAAACCCAAATGACTCATTTCATTTTACTGAATTATAACTAGGGTTGGGTATCGTTTGAATTTGAACGATTCTGATTCCGATTCCTTGTTTCGATTCCGGTTCCTAACGATTCTCGATTTCGATTCTTTTAAGAGGCAGGGTCAAAAAAGTTTAGCTAACCAACGGTCTTTCTGAAGGAAATGCTCCTTCTGTCACAAATACTTGTCACAAATGCATTTTGCGTTTTGCCGAGATTTCGTTATTTTTAGAAAAGTGAAGCCACACTTTGGACCGCCGACGTAAGCTACTCATGTTCGACTCGCGTGGTTATGCCAACACTTCCGGTAGACGCTTCTTCGTTGGTGTTGTTCAGCGGTTTCTTCTTCCGCTCGGCGGACTGTGAATATCGAAACTAGGAATTGAAATTTTAACTTTTGAACGATTCCGGGAAAAACGAAAAGTTAGTCCCGGTTCCACTCGATTCTCGATACCCAACCCTAATTATAACAAAGTGCTTTAAGTTGAACTGTCTTTTATAATAACACTAATGATCAGAATAACTGATTTCATTATCCCCCCCCTTACAGCTGACCGTTGCTGGAACGATGCGCCCTGTTCAACCTCATTATCCTATATCTGTGTCCTAGACATGTGTGATGCGTCTATATGGGCATAGACGCATCACACGGTGTTTTGATTGAACTACTTTTCAAAGTGTTATTCTTAAATTAAATTTCTACTAAGCTTGAATCTCTTATATCTTTCTCTGACCTTCTCCTCACATTAATAAAAGCATTGAAGAACCCAAATGTGTGTTGCCAAATTTCTGTGTAAAAATTGAAGTATTTTGTGTTGCAAGGGTTTGAGAATCTGGTTATTAGGCACTAAATGAGATCATTGGGGGTGGGGTTTAAACTGCACACATGGATAAGGTCCACCCATGCAATGAACCGATTGACAGCTTAAGCATGTAAAGGCAATTTCACTATGATTACTCATTTATATTAGATTTGCAATAAGTCTCCTTGTTTGTGATGTTTTATATACAATGTTCGGGAGGAGCACGTTCAAATAAATCATTCCAATCAACTCGTCACCAACCAATTATATGTCTACCTTATCAGCTCGCGAGGAAGTCCATATATATATATATATATTCACTGTCAATTCACCTAACATTCATTCAGAGCAAAGCGGACCGCACTCGGACACATTTCTAACCGGCATGCATCTCGCGGTGATCACCAATGCACAATTTACTTTTGTAATGCACAATTTACCTTTTCAATGCTTTTATTAATTTGAGGAGTGTTTCAGGGAAGATATTTAAAATAGATTCGTTCTCCCGCGAATTTGCGGAGAGTTTTGCTAATATTTTGTGAAGATACTAGACAGTGTTTTGACCTAACACAGTCTCATGAAGATGCGTATCTTTACCACGAATGTCATTTCTCGTGGTATTTATATTCCAAAAATGAAATTTCCTGCGTGCTTATGCTACGCACTAAACAACCGTAGGGGGTAGGTTGAGGGGGGTGGGGAGTTTGTGCTTATTATACGCCAAAAAGTGCGTGTCCTATGCACGCGAAAAACGCATGCAATATACACGCGAAAACTGTTAAAGGGTTAGTTCACCCAAAAATGAAAATTCTGTCAGTATTTACTCACCCTCATGTTGTTCCAACCCTGTAAGACCTTCGTTCATCTTCGGAACACAAATGAAGATATTTCAGATATTAAGATCTCTCCTGCATACAGTCCATAGGCTTCTTGAGGGAATGACTCTTGCTGTCCCCGAAAAGTCATTAAAGACATCGTTAAAATAGTCCAAGTGACTACAGGGGCTCAATCTTAAGTTTATCAAACGACGAGAACACTTTTGTGCGCAAAAAAACAACAAAAATAACGACTTTATTTCAACTATTCGTTTATTTCTCCCTCTGCGCGAGTCAGGTTACTAGTTTAATAGCGTAAGCTTCTGTTATTGTACGTCACACGCATCACACACACATGACCAGCGTCGGCCAATAGTGAGCCTTCGTGTGACGTAGCTCTACGCAATCACACTACGTTAACTGACTTACAGGCTCATGGACAAGGAAGTGATAGTTGAAATAAAGTCGTTATTTTTGTTGTTTTTTTGCGCACAAAAGTGTTCTCGTCGTTTGATAAACTTAAGATTGAGCCCCTGTAGTCACTTGGACTATTTTAACGATGTCTTTAATGACTTTTCGAGGACAGCAAGAGCCAGTCCCTCAAGAAGCCTATGGACTGTATGCAGGAGCGATCTTAATATCTGAAATATCTTAATTTGTGTTCCGAAGATGAACGAATGTCTTACGGGGTTGGAACAACATGAGGGTGAGTAAATACTGACAGAATTTTCATTTTTGGGTGAACTAACCCTTTAAATGCCGTATAAATCCCACGAGAAATGACATTTGTGCTATTGATATGAACTTTCATGAGATCGGGCTCGTTTTGACACAATGCAAGCAAATTTTTTCATCATAGGTTTTTTTCGGTTTCTGAGTTGAGTGTATACGTCTCCAAATCTAACTTTATATTGCCTTAATCACTGTCTTGTTGGCTCAAACATAGCACCGTTTTGAAACATGTCAGCAATTCCTAGCGACTGTTAGCTAGGTTTAAAATATGTAATACACAGCGGGGTTGGTTGTAACACAGTGTTACAAACAGGCCGCCAAGTGTACAATGATAATCAAATGAAAACAGAGAGACACAACTTTTCAGGTTTGAGTATTTATTTATACATTTAACTTTGTTGGACTTTCACAAACAATGTTGTAATTTAAAATGTTCAACATTTAGTTTAGTATGCATTGATCACTTGTTTATTTATTAAAAATATGGCCTGTTTTTAATGCAATAAACCCTTTAAATTTTTTATTTTAAGCTCATTTGTATTATTATTACTGTTATTATTATTGATAATAATAATTTTACATGCAGCTGCAAAACTGTGCAGCTCTTTTCTATATCCATGAAATTGATCCATAATAGTAGAATGATTGGATGAGAGATGGATGCATGGGAATCTACTGTATCTATATGCACAAACAATATCAAACTATACAAATAAAATAGTCCTGAATTATGTGTGTTACACACAAGTGTTACAACTAAACCCTCTGTCTGTTACAATTAGTAGTACAAAAAGTTGTAACATTTGCATTTCTGTCACTTTCAGTGCAATAGTACAATAATGGTAGGTCCTAGAATAAAACTTTAAGTGTTCATTTGTAGCAGAGATGTGTATGTTGCATGTGTAAAAAAAGTTGAATCTAACTCAATAATTTTTTTAATAATTTAGCCAAAACCAAAATGTGTTAGGTTGTGCCCCGCTCTTCTCTAATATCAGAAAGATGTAATAAATAGTTCGATCAAAGTATCCGTGGAGCAGAATCACAGTCATACAAGTCTTTACCACAGATATAGGGTAATAATTGTGAACAGGGCACATCATTCCAGCAACGGTTAGCTGTAAGGTGGAATAATGAAATAAGTTATTCTTTGGAAAATCCAAATTGAGTCATTTCATGTCATTACTGTATGATGTAAAATTGTAGGATTGTAAATTATAACTCAAAGTATCAAAGAAACAGACTGCCGCCTTACAGATATGGTTGATCTCCAAACAGTTCTCGGGACGTTTGTAATTGTTGGGTTCTCCAGTGCACCAGTGGGAATACAAAAACACAGATCCATCACTCCACAACCAGTGTCCATCCTGAAGAGAGAAGAGAGGGAATAAAAGAGTGCACTACTGTTGGCAGACTTCAGGAAGAAGCTTTAGTTCAGATTTGAGTCAATCGACACTTATATATACACTTTGCCTTTACTCTAGCAGAATTTTTTTTAAAGAGTTTAAAAAAGTTGGCTTTTTGAGTGTTTTTCTTTCCAAATCCTGGGTTGAGCGTCTTGTAGTTTTCATGTGTTACCCAGAGCTTGGCTTTTGCCACAGGTCTCTTCAGGAGCAAGTACAGCGCTGTCAAAATGGTGCATGTCTTAAATGTTATGCAAATAAGCAACTTGAATTACTTGAATGTTAAATGTTTACATTTAATATTTCTTAAACAAGCTTAAATGTTGGCATTATGTATTAAAAATGATAGAAAGTACTGTACTGATTGGGAAATTCTAATTAAGGACATTATCATTTCAACTATTATTAAAAATGTTTATAGGATTTAAGTTAATCCATTGACATTAATTCATTTATGAAGGGAATAAATAATAATAAAAAAAGAATTAACTCTCATAGGTTAAGCAACCCAATATTCTGGGTTAAATAAACAACCCAATTTGCTGTGAAATTAACCCAGCATGAGTCCTGTCCTTTATGGGTTGTTTTTAACCCAGTGTTTTTTTAGTGTAGTGAACTTACTTGTACAGCATCATTTGCACCAACCCAAGCATGTGTGGAAGAAGGCAACAGACTCAGCAGGAAACCATTTTCCAGTTTATTACGCACAGATGCGAGATTCGCACCAAGACTCTGACAGTTTCTCTAAAGAGACAGATTTTTTTTACTGTCAATATAAAATATTTTTTAGCATAACACAAAAGTGACAACAATTTAGACATTTGCAAACAAAGTCTGGTCAGAGTGACTGATTATTTGCTGTCAAAATTTTCTGCATTATTTATTTGCAGATAAGAAATTTTTACTTTAAAACAATTACATTCCCACTTTATATTAAGTATCTTTAACTATCACTGAAAAAAAAAACATTGTAGGGTTTCCTTGATAAAATCACATTTTACAACACATTTTCAAGTAAATTTGACTGATACTGCTCTATATTATTATAATAAAGTAAAATCTACTCAATATTGAACTTTACATTTAATTGAAACAATTAAGTATTACCATATAATAATTTTATATTTAATTTCACATATAGACTAAAATACCATCTTCTTAACTAATTTCAATAAATTTGATAATTAACTTCTTAATCAATATAACACTGAATTATACCACACATTTAAAGCATATACTATATAAATATCTATATCAATAATTCAACAGATATTGAAATTTCATAATGAATAATTAAATATTAAAGAATATTTATGAAAACAGAGACCTCAATACTTGGTACACAATAGATCAATTTTGAGTAGGAAAATGAATCTAGATGTCACAAAACGGCAAGTTACTAAACCTAACAACAAAAGTGATGATAAAATGGTGTAAATGCAGCTGGAAAACAGTCAAAAGTCAACCTTATTATTTATTCATGTCCCAATGCATGATGGGAACACAATTATTATAAAAGTTAGGTTTGAGGTTTTACTTCATTTTATATCATTGGTATTAACGGTTTAATTTCCACAAGCTTGATTTGAGTGACTTGACTTTGTTTTTAAATTCTTGCCTGAACTAACTTGTTCATGTAGAATTTACATTTGTTTTTTTGTAGTATTTACTTCACCAGAGAATCATTTGTATCAGTTTAAATGAAAAATGTGATACTCTTATTGTGTACATGCATGTCTTTACATCTGTCTTTAGTTAAAGACACCTATAAAGTGACAATCATCTTGTTGTAACACATTACCTGGGCTGTGATCCAGTTAGTCAGATGAGAGATGAACTTGTAGCATCGGAGTCCATATTGTGTCCATGTAGCGGGGCATCTTCTGGATAAACCAACTGCTTCCAGTCCTTTAACATTCTCTGTAAATAATGTTTTAATTTTTATTTATGCAGCTTATTTTATGCTTTTGTGATTATGTGCTGAAAATATGTGTATTTTATACACGGTAAACAGTA